TCGAATGCTCGAGCTTTTGCCTTTGAGGCCCTAGACCTATGAACGGCCCTTTTGGAGTGAAATTCGTACCGCAAGAGTGGAATTTAGCCGGAAAAGAGTTGATTCCACTCCTGGAGAGCCCATTTCACTCCACAAGAAGATTGAGTCACCTGGGGGCCGATTATTGAAATTGATAGACAAAGCTATGGACAGAGAGGACAAAAGGGATATGGAGAGATCCTATTGGTGGAAGCAGTGGTTGCAATGGACAAAGGAGGTAGGCAATAGATTACCTAAGGGCAACCTACGAGACACCCTACAGTTAGTCCATCATTTTCTCCTTTAGTCTAAAGGAACCACCCATTTCAACCAATAGGATCGCCCCATACTTCATATGTTTTCTTTGCCTATCGCTGTGCCTATAAATGTCTATAATCAGCCCGCTGGGGATATCCTGTAACCCCGGTCGTGTGCGGATCCAAGGAGGGGCGTGGAGGCCTGGGGAGCGTTCGCGCCCCTGTTCGTCCGAAAAAAGGAGGAAGGATAAAAGGTAAGGAAGAGAGAAAGAAGGACGCTCCTATTTGGAAAATATTTATGACAAAATTTACTCCAGTTGCATTTTAGATGCTATAAAATTTCGCAAAAATTCGCATTTTTTGGAGGAAGCCGCCCAGATCCCCCTTTCAACCTTTTGCGGGCTGATTATAGAGATTGATTAGACAAAGCGATAGACAAAGACGACATAGCGATCCTATTGGTTGAAATGCATGATTTCTATAGTCTAAGGATGAAAATGATGGACTAACTGTAGAGTTAGTCTATTACCTATCTCCCGTGTCTATTGCAACCACTCGCTTCCACCAATAGGATTCCTCATTATCCTTCTTGTCTTCTTCGTCTATAGCTTTGTCTATCAATTTCAATAGTAGGCCCGCTGTTCGAATTTTCTGGATCCGCCTATGTCTTCGGTCGTTAGAGAGCAAAATAAGTTCCAGACGGAAATTCACCACGGCTGTTCCTCCGAGATTTTGAGATCAGTGGAGAGGAATCTCTCAGATCAAGTGACCCAGTCCTCTTCCTGAAAGAGGAGAAAGAAAGAGCACACATTTTGTTCTTGGAAAATGACACCCGGTGCTCACGAGAAACAGTTTGGAAGCGTGCCAAGCATTATCGGGAACCATCTGTAATTGCATAGAGGTCCTCGTTGAGTTCAATTAAAGCCATCCAGAGGCAGATCCGAGGTCGCCGTGTGGCATTGAGATGCGATCTGAACTGTTGAAAGAGAAAATGCAGTAGTCATCGGCACGGCACGTCGACGACCCGAGACGTCGATTAAAAGCCACCCACGCGCCCAGTTGCGCCGTTACACGGCCATCCAACATCCAACGTCCGACATGCAACATTCCTCGCCGCCAGCGCCCACCTCTGCATATCTGTCCACTCTATCGTCGTCGATCGGTCCTCCATCCAACGATCAGATCAAAATCCAACAGTATTGTCAAATTTTCAGCACGATTTTTTTTTCTCGTTTCCTGCCATTTGTGCCATCCCAAGTAGCAAAATGGTATTTTTTTCTAGAAAAAAAAATATTAAGAAAATTTAAAGAAAAAACAAAGAAAATGAGAGTTATCCAGAAAATAGAAAGAAAAAACATTGCGAGTCAAAAGTCTGACCAAAGGAAATAGATCTATTTCGTAGGTCTACTTTCTGTCAACTTCCCATTTGGAAAAAAGGTAGAAACTTTATTGAAAGTAGAATTATTTTCCAGCCAATTTCTTAATGTTTTCTTGTAAGAAAATGCAAGTAAAAAATGTGCTTTCTTTCCATTTTCTTGTGTCTATTTTCTAGATCTACTTTATACCTATTTTCTTTTAAGAAAATTGTTCTATGTATATTGTAGAAAGTAGAAATTTTCTTGATGAGCGCCACCTAGAAAGTAGATAACAATGCTACTTGGGATTACTCACAATCAGCTAAAAATGTCCGTTTTTATGGTTATTTTGAGTTAGAGTACCTATATAGCGAGAGTATAGACGGATGTGAAACTCCGGAAATCCATCAGGCCTTCACCGATGCCTCCGCAAATAAAGTTAGGGCCCAGAAACAGGGCCGGATTAAGGGGGTGGCCACATGGGCCGCGGCCCATGGCGGCAAATTTAGGGGGTGGCCAATTTTGAAATTTTTTTAAACGTAGGTTTAAGAAAAAAATCCGATTCAAAAAAGAAATTATCAATGAGAAAAGGGAACAAAATCTCTCTTTCCTGAGAGGGCAGTAATTTCTAATTTTGTCGTTTTTCGGTGATACAAGAGACAGCATCTTTAATTAGTCGAGTCAGTTAGTCAGTTGAAACAGCACTTAAATGTATTAAATTAATAGATGAAGAGAAGATATTTAATAGTTATTAGCAATAGAGAAGGAGAGGAACTAAACACGCAATTTGACCTGGAGCTCAGCACAGAGAGAAATGACGGCGAGGACTTGAGATGAAAAAGACAAGCCCTCGGCGCGGCGGTCGGCATGTAACACATATTAGCGCCTGCAAGACTGCATGAATACTTCACCCATTGCGCCAAACACAGTGCGGTCAGGAGCGGTTGGCGTGAAACGCATACCGCCTACAAGACCGCAGAAATACTTCACGCATTGCGCCAAACATGGTGCGATCAGCGCGGCGCACCGGCGGAAGTTAAAATTATTAAACCACATTTATGTTTGTACTTTCATAATTTTTTGGTTCATTTCTTTTAAATGGAGAACCTCGTCCACACAGAGATAGGTTTACGGAACTTAACTTTCGCGCAAAGTTCCGTGAAATTTCGCTATTAGTGTAGACAGGGTTTTCGCAAAAAATGTATCCAACACGAAAAGGTAAACGCGTCTTATGCACCCCTCCCCCTCCGGCACGTTCACTTGATAGTTTTTTTTGATGTTTCAAAACGAATGAGATGGGGGCGGCAAAATACAGGCGGCCCATTATCGGCAAGTAGGTAAATCCGGCCCTGCCCAGAAATGCCATATATTTGGTTAAATTATTATTGCCATATAAATGCCAATAATCATTTGCCTCATCTGAGAGTGCCTAATGAGCTGAGTACGCTGTATTTTTCATAATTTTTTTCTGACATAGGAAATTGGAGGAAAATAGATTTAAAAGTGAGAAATTGGCCTCATGACGTCATCTGGCGGCATTTTCCATTTAAAAGCACATGTATTTTAGCAGATTAGGTATTTTGTCATATTTTCTCCAATAATTGTTCAATTCCAAAACCAAGGATATCCGCGTACTCAGTTTTCCCAGCGATATCATTGTAAAGATGAAATTCACAAAATTTAAGACACCTGCAAATACTCTATTGGCAACATTGTTTTTTCTCCATTTAAATATATGTCAAACAATCGATTCTTGGTGAGGCAGCTTGACTTGCCAAAATCGATATTTTCGACGAGTTTAAACGGAGAAATCAGTGTTGCCAACTTGCAAAATCGCCATTGGATATCCGCTCATGTGTTCCCGCATGCCGCGAGTCTTCCCCGCTCGCGTGTTCACAGACCGTGGAGCAAGTTTCGGACGTTTGGTGACGTCAGGATGACTGCCGTGCTAAGGAAAAACGCCGTATCAACCTTCAGGCGTTGCCAAATTTCCTTTGATAAAACACTAATTTCCTGGTAAACTTTTGAATATTTTCCTTCCAATTTTTCAGATAATTTTGTTCGCAATTTTACCTGAAGTTCCTGAAAATTTCATGGGAAAATATCCATAACCCACCGCAAAAATAAACATTTTACCGAAGGAAATTTGGCAACTCACGATTGTTCATACGGCGTTCTTCCTTAGCGCGTCAGGATGAGACCTCAGGCCTTAAGGTCAATCGCTTTGGCACTAGCTTTATTATCCGACTCTAGCCGGCAATCACATATTTATGGTGGGCCGTCCAGGAGCGTTTGAGCCCGGTGGTTGAGCAACTCAATCGCAGGGCCAAGCCAGACAACCATGTCCGCAGGCCTGGGTCTCTCATCTTAATCTGGAGCTGATGCTATGACGCACGGCCTTGCAGTTTCATCCCGTCGAGGTACGTTTCCACAGGGTGCTGGCGGCGCACAGTGGATCGAGTCAAAAGAGAATTTGCAGGAGTCTGAAATTTGATGAATGGAGAATTGGAGATGTTGCATAAATGAGCACTGAAAAAAAAATCTCGTAGTATTTACTAAGAAAAGGGTAAAATTACCAAGAATTCAGGGTTCTATTTGATCCCAGTTTTTTCTTGGTAAAATTACCATTCATGAAATTGGTAATTTTACCGAGAAATCTCAGTAAAATTATTGACTCTCTCGGTAATTTTAATGGACCCCGGTAAAAACGCCAATATTTTTTATCGACTGCTGTAGACTTACCGAGATAAAATGGCAAAGTTACCGGGAATTAATTACCAATAAAAGTGGTATTCTTATCTTACCTGAGAAAAACAGTAAAAATACCGATTTTTAGGTAAGCTTATCAGTCTGTCTTGGTAAAATTACCAATTATTGGTAAAAAAAAGTGAGATGGTAAAGACACCAACGGACCTTGGTAAAAATGCCGAGAATTTTTTTTTCAGTGAGGAATTTGCGATTTGACTATTGATTCCTATGTAAAAGTTTGCGAGAAACACGATGGTGCCACTGGTAATCTTTCTTCGCGTCGCGTCGCGCATTGTTTGTGGAACCGTGGCTTAATCGGTTCCTGGTTTCTTGATGCAGAGCCTTCCTCGGTAGCTGCGATTGTAAAAGTTAAAACCCTTGTAACACCGTTACAACACGATCTAATTCTGCCGCGCTAAGGAAGAACGCCGTATGAACATTCGAGGGTTGCCACATTTCCTTAGATAAATTGTTTATTTTTTAGGAAAGTTACGAATATTTTTCCTTTAAATTTTCAGAAACTTCAGGTAAAATTGCGAACTAAATTATTCTTATTTTTATTCCTCGCTCTTTCCATGCATATGAAATGCACTAATTTGAATGAATTTTTGTTCTGTTTCAGAATGTGGTGGACAATCACGGGGAATTTTGGCAATATACTACCCATAGATTGGTCAAAATCTTACACTAGGAAGTTGCAATTATCAGCTCTCAATGTGAATGAGAGTGAGGTAAGAGAGGTAAATTTGCATCACGTTCAGTTATTTGTTTTTCACTGCATCCAATTTTCACACGTGTTGATGAAGTTGATTTCCTTAAGGAAGCTGAATCCATAGTCCTTAATATTAAATTTTTACCGATTTTTTGCTCAATATTTTTATAGAGATCAGTATTTCTGCTCGTTAGCGAAAACAGAGAAGCCCTCGGCCTCAGCCAATCCATCAATCGAGACTTTGTATGAGAATACTGTATGCTTAATTTCGTATAATGCCCATTGATTGATTTACTGGCTATGTCATTCGATACGTTGCAATAAAATAATCAAAATTAATCGGCCCGTTTGAATTTCGATCAGCCTTCCCGCGCTTTGAAAACGCGGTAAAATTAAAACAGCCAATCAGAGGGTTGAATTTTTACTTTCTTGCTCTCTTAGGGTAAAGGAAGTATTGTCACCCTCCAAGAAAAAAAAGAAGAAAAAAAGTTGAAACTTCATTTCTAGACGTTTTATTTTAGATTGAGGTCCTGTTTTTGCTAACAATAGTTAACCAGCGAATACATCGATCCATCGATCATATCGTTCGTCGTATCGATCGAATGACGTAGTCACTAAATCAGTCTATTGCGTCTTAGAGATATCCAACTTTCATGCTCACCGGAGGAGGGCCCTCAGCCTCTTTTCCTGCTTCAATATCCCCCTCCCCTCCCTCACTTCGTCAACTTGTAACGCCCCCATCCCAAGTAGCATTTTTCAACGGAAAAACCAGGATATGTTCAGGGCCGGATTTACCAATAGGCTACATAAGCTATAGCCTAGGGCGCAACATTTTGAGGGGCGCAACATTTTTGAGAATTTATTAAAAATCGTGACTTATTAAAAAATGTCTATGTTGTGGTTGACAAAGGTGTTTTTTCAAAGGTGAATTTGAACATTTTCCGGACACCTAACATTCTCCCTCTGATCTGGAGGGGAGGGGCGTCTGGAAGGACTCCCCCCCCCCCCTACGAGAGCGCCTACTTTTAAGGGCGCCACCCTAAATTTAGCCTAGGGCGCTAAAAATGTAAATCCGGCCCCGGATATGTTGCAATTTTATCGGCGATAAAATCGCTGGGATCATCAACGTCTGAGCTATTATCCTCGATCTTATAAAAATAAAATCGCGATTTTATCGCCCGGGAATTTGCCGCGATATTTTCGAAATAAAAATCGCGATAAATGGCGATTTAATCTCGATTTGAACGACGAAAATTGGACCGTGTTGAGCAGAAAGGAACCAAGCCACATCAGCTATTGCCAAATTTAGCTGGGCAATTTAATTTATTACATGAAAACGGTGAAGCGGATTTGTTTGAAAATTTCAGTGAATTTTCTGCATGTTACAAGGCAGATTCCCTAAAATTTTCCAAAAAATTCGCACAAATGTTCTCTTGCAGAACATTAAATACTCAGTTAAATGTGGCAACAGCCGATGTGGCTTGGTTCCTTTCTGGTAAACGCGGTCCAATTGATCGTGAATTTACCAAGCAAAAAATCACGATCTCTGGTGAAAATTGGCGATAGGAGCTGCGTTTCAAAATACCATAGGAGTTCTTATAGCCGACTGAAGAAGGCGATAGAAAATCATATAGCTGGCTGTAGAAAGTGGAAAAAATCATACGGCCGGGCTACACGAAGCGATAAAAAATTATTCAGCCGGGCTATAGTTCCTATCACCGGGCTTCACACTTTATCGCCTGGCTGTTACTTTTTCGCCATCGGCTATAAAAGGCTATGAGAAATTATGTAGAAATTCGTGTGCTTTGTAAATCCTTAAGTTTGTACGGAATCACCTTAATATTTACAAAACGCACATTATATCTTCCTTTACTACATACTTTTTTTTCATCAATTAAAATGAGAATAATCCATACAGAGTGTGCAAACATTTCAAAGTCATGAGTTGAAAAACGCTGACTCCACGAGATTAAATATTAGAGCCTAACACAAAGCGGAGCGGCGGCACACTGGCGCCTACAAACCTAACAGGGATACTTCACGCATTGCGCAATGCGTGAAGTATCCCAGTTAGGTTTGAAGGCGCCAATGCGCGATCCGCGCTGGCTGCCCGCCCGCCGCGCGGCGCCGCAGCGTACCACGGCGCTTGAAGCAACTATTACACACCAGAGGTATTGCACAGTATCATACGAAATTGCAGGCGCTCCAACATGTCAGGAATGGCAGGCATCCTTCAAAAGTACGGCGCTTTCCTCGCAAAATAAATCAAGATACTACTGCCAAAAAAGAGAGCGGTAGTCCAAAAACTCACTAAGTCCTAGCATCCGTAATAATTAGTAACGTTTAGCATACACTTTATCGCCAGGCTGTTGCTTAGTCGTCATCGGCTATAAAAGGCTATAAGAAATTGTGTTGCCGGCTATAGAGGCTATTGGAAATCTTACAGCCGGCTGTAGGTCTATGGTATTTTGGAACACAGATTCTATTGCCAATTTTTACCAGGGATGTGTGGCGATTTAATCGCCATAGATCGCAATTTTTAATGCGATAATATCTCGATGTATTGCCACCGATAAAATCGCAATAACCAACCGATAAAATCGCTATTTGTCGCGATCCTTGCTACTTGGGATCCCTCCTCGAAAATGTTTTGAGTCCGAGCATGTAAGGAACTTACCGTATTTCACAGATTAGTCCAGATCGCTAACGTCCAATCTACCCAATGCTTCGAAAGCGTGAGTAATTTTGTTACAGGTTAGGCAACTTTAGAAAATTGATGGCACTACCAGTAGTGAAAGAACTTGACCGGAGCGAGAGAAATTTCCTCTTGAATCTAATTATAAAGCTTTAATAAAGTATAAATAGTAATGTGCAATAATGGTTTTTGATCAAATAAGATTTTATCAAGTACTGTTATGCTAAGTATTCTGATTCAATATTCTTACAACAGTTGGTAGCAAATTAACTGCTCTCATGGGGGCCTGGCGGGAATTCAAAACTAGAAACCAAAAGTCTCATTTTGCTAGGATTTTGCTTTAATATTCGGTTTCTAAGGCTTTAAACTCCAAAAATATGATATATAATAATCTGGCGGTGAAGATCAATTCATCCAGAATAGATGAGAGATAGACATTCCAAATTAAGGGGGAAAGTGCTGCATATTTTAATCTGGAAATATTAAACCACATAAATTCTACTGAGAAACTAATTCTTGAATTCTTCGGAACGTTTCATCTCACAAAAATCTGAAAAAGAGGTATTCTCCCTCCGAAAATCTGCTGAAAATAGCCAAAATTTCAGTTTTGGTTCCCAGTTTTAAATGCCCATGGATTTTCCCGCCAAATGGCTTTCACAAAACTACTCACGCTCTTCCGCCGATGTTAGCGATCTGGACTAATCTGTGCCGTATTTATTCGTTCATTTCATGAATGAGCTAGCTGATTTTCGTCGTTCAGGGATGAGCTAACGGATGTTTCGCTTTCAGGACAAATTCATCCCGGATGATCTGAGCAGCGAGGATGAGGCAGTGGCGAGCGATCTGGACATGCACTCGCTTATCTTATCCGGTCTCACGCAGGATACAGAGCCCCCGGTCAAAACGGCTGAGGAAGTCATTCGAGAGATCGACGACATCATGGAGGTAAATTTTTGTCGAAAATAATTTTGGATCCAAGTGGAAAATAGGGTGTCGTACGTCTTAAGAATAATAAGGAAACGGAATAAAATCTGAAAAGTTCGTTCTACTGTGCGGCCGTGCCAAGGAAGAACGCCGTATGAACCTTCAGACCTGGCCAGATTTTCCTCGGAAAAAACCGAATTTACTGGGATAATAGAAATGTTGCATGTGTGAGGAATTTGCGATTTGACTATTGATTCTCATGTAAAATTTTGCGAGAAACACGATGGCGCCATTGGTTTTTTCTGAAATCAACTCCCAAGCTCAAAAGAAGCTCTCAATTTTATTACTCGCCTGACTTGGTCGGCAAACATGCTCTTTACCTGCTTCTGAATCCTCTTCTAATTAACTTGGAATTATGTGAAAATCGTAACCTTTTAATTATTAGACGTCACTGTTGCCAAATAGTGCAATTTGCGGGACATTTATTGGCAAAAACGAGTGGATTCACGACCGACCAGGGTGACAAGTTGTCTTGGATTTCAAATTCCCTTGCTTTTTCAGATATTTCGAACATAAAAACCTCTAACTATTCCCTAAGCTTTCTGAGTTTTCTGGCGTGGTTTCTAGTAAAAATTATAATCACAGATAATGCTGAGCGCGAAGTATCTTGACTGGGGAAAAAAGCAAATTTTTGGTTTGCCGAAAAAATTTCCTCAGCAAAATTTTCTAGCTTTTCCCGACCTATCAGGGTTGTGCGAAATTCTCCATAAATGCATTTCCACCACACGGTTTGAGTTTCATATTCGTCATTTTACTTTTAGGAGTCTCCAGAATGCACCCCAGACTCAGAGCTGTGTCCTGACGACCTTCACCAAAAAGGAAAAGAAGTGCTCCAGTCACCCCTGTATCAAGAAAGTAAGTCTCTCCTCGTAAAGATAAGTCAAGTGTGTAATGGCAAAATGTGCTCGGAGAGTTGTATTTAACGACTTTGAAGGCGCCACGAACCTTCAAATGGTGCTTCCCGGCTCTGTTGGCGCCCAGGCGCACAGTGGATTTAGTCAAGCAGAGAGGTTGGACTTGAAATTTTTGACTAAAATTTTAAATTTTGATGTTTATTTCGTCACATTTTAAATTTCAAGGAGTGCTCTCATTAGGAAATTTTACGAGGAAACCAATGGAACCTCTTTTAGAACCTTAAACTTTCGCATAAACGGAGTTACAAGCTTCTGAAGTTTCCAAATTTTGTCCGACCTCTCCCGTTGACTAAATCCGGTGTGAGGCGTCAAGACATCCAGCAGAGCGTGGTTCGTGAATTTTCAGCCTTAACGCTACTTAACACCCGTCGGTATTCAAAGTGGGTATTGTCTCTGACCAACGGCTCCAACTTAAATCTCGTTACCTAAGTTTGATCGAATATTTTTGCCTAGAACTAGGCAAGAATACACACGCTGTGTTTGCTACGTTTCCCTTTCGTCTCGCTGAGGTAATAGGTTTACCCACTTTGAGTCACGAAGAATGTTTTCAGAATCAGAATGGAGCTCTCAATTATTCTCAGAAATTGTATTTCGTTGCGATTTCTTCAAGAATAAGACCCCTGCTTACATAATAACTTGAGAGTTCAATCTCTTAGCATCCTCGTCACATTTGTCACGCAGTGTGCTTAACTTGTTGCTTTTTCCATCAACTCCTTCATCGATGCGTATAGGCAACAATTCATGCTCTCCAGGCGCTAAAGTTGCATTTACCAAAAGCGAAGGCATTTTTCATATTTGCGTAATTTAAAGAGTCTGTGTCTGAATGTCGGGTACTTACAATAATTGACTCTTTTTTGTAAATGATCACATGATCAGCAGATTCTTCTCACTTAGGCACATCATCAGAAGAAGTTTTTGAGCGGTGCCAACAACATTATTTGATGTAAATCGATCTATGATTCTAATCATGATTTTTCAAGTGAATGTTAATCAATGCAAGGGAGAAGAGGGGCTGAAGGACGTTCCTATTTTATTAAGATTCTCATTTGTTATAAGTCTTTTAAAGTATAGATACCTTACATATTTTGGGAAAAGTGTCGCACTAATTTGGTTTATATGTCTAAAACTAAATTAGTGCAAAATGATTGTACAAAAAATAATGAAGAGAATAGGACAGCTTTTAAAAATAGACAGATTAGGCATGATACTTGTCTTTTACTTAAACACCAGGCTAAATAAATTTCTGCTTTGACTGGCTTGCCTATTAATATTTATTTTTTTAATGTTCCAGAGTTAAAGACGCTGAGTGTGTCACAACTGAATGAAGTATACCTTGAACTAGAACTCCTAATCCGAGATTTTTCGGAAACTTTAATAGCAGAATTGGCACTAAGGGATGAATTGGAATATGAGAAGGAGCTGAAAAATTCCTTCATTTCTTTACTATTGGCTGTTCAAAACAGACGCAGGCAATACCACGTTGATAAGAAAAAAGGCAAAAATGGCATTAGAGCCGCAGGCACAGAACCCAAGGTAAACAGACAAAATCATACTCTATTTAAGTGAACTTAATTTCGTGAACTTTTGAGTGAAACGTTAAGTCTTCGAACATGTGGATGGTGAAAGTCGCCGGAAGCTTATCTTGACAGAAATATTTCAAAATCTTAGCTTTTTCTTCGTAGGTACCTATCTTGATGGCAATTTTTTATGTAATCTCTACTGTTTCTTTATTTTTTTTTTTTTTCCCAAGAAAAACCAATGATCTTGTTTTTGACGTTTTTGTTTGACATTTTCACAAAATATTCTTAATGGAATGAGGAATAATCAGTAAAAATTCAAAAATAATATGTTCATCGGTTTTCTTTTGATAAAATAAATTTAGACGTGGAACTGCGACATCGCAGTTGGAGATTTTTATTTTGCATCTCTCACCGTCATATTCATATAATGCAAGATATCTAAAGACATTTTGTATTATGTCTTTCATCTATGAGCAAAATTCCTTTATTATTTACCCTATGTAATTGGGAGAGTGATATTAGCTAGCATGGCGCGAATAGCTGTTGAACTTAAGGAGTGTACCATAGGTAATTAGTCCTTACTTTTAGCAAATTCTTTGCTATTTCATCACTCAAAGCACAGCGACAGCGCAAATTATGACTAAGTATTGAATGATGGTGCAAATCTGATCAAAAACACAACATTTCAAATTTTTAGGGCTGAGTTTGAAAAAATTACAAAAGAATACTTTTGTCGATAATTAATGATATTCAAACTAAGTAAATCTTAATAATTTCTCTTTCTCTGCCCCTGTCTGCCAAAAAATTTCACCTTTTCAGTTTCACTCTTATCAACCATAAAATATTTTTTTTTTGTTCTTGCATGATATAAGACTAAGTCCTGAAGGGCACAAGTTTAATATACTGTTTGCTTATGCCTCCAGCCCACATGAAGCGCTACCTGTAAGAAGAGTTTTATAGGTTACATAATTGCATTGCTGTCGATCAGTCAAATAATTCCTTCATCTACACTGAACTCTTTAAGACCAAGCTTCACGCTAATGAAGCATTATTGCATTGCAATCAAAAGAATGATGTCAGTACTCTGTAAAATACCACAGTTGTTTAGAGAGACCTTAGAATAATTCCAGTCAGCAACTCACAAGTGTGAATTTTTGTTTCAGTACCTAACGACAGTGATTCCATACCACCTGGACAGTGGCCCTCTAGATAATCAGGCCCTGCAAGTCTTAATAAAAAGTAAGTTCTTCAAACAATCTGAACATGTCATTCCTATATTTTTTTTTCTTTCCTTTATTTATTTACCTATTTATTCTCCGTGCACAATTTATTTATGTCAATGCCTACCTATAGGTGTGTAGAGAATGTATACATTTTCTCAGAGGAGATATTTCCGATACTGCTCTACATTAAGCGGTATTCTTCTTGAGATATTGTGTATTTTACATACATACCTGAAGTTCAGTGCTTAAAAAATTGCGATCCGATGTTTGCCCTTTCAAATAGGAAGATAGTCAATCTGCAAAAACTGCTACTAAATTGAAATAATTTGACATCAGTTTCGACATAATTTCACTGAGAGAGATCTCTGTTACTCGGTATGTCTATAGTGTCCTTACGGCTGAAAATCTACACCAATCAATCATGCTCAACTATGAGGGGCTTTTGAATGAGACTTAATGGAAGCATGTATATATAAAGTGACTACCCTGTTAAAACCAAGACTCTTCGTCAAATGAATTGAAACACATTTTGAAATTCCTCCTTTTAAGTAATTCTTTTGCTGAGTTTTAAATTTATCCTCTTGTTTTCTGTTCCAGTTTTGAAAGCCATTAATGAAGATAGTCCAACAGTACCCACTCTTCTAACTGATTACATATTGAAAGGTAACTTTTCCCCCCCTGGTTCATTTAAATTTTAATAATTTATAAGCCTACAATCAATTGAAACACTACCTGGCATTTCGTATTCAGGCGCACTTTAACCCCCAAGGCTGTCTTATCTCTCTTGCCTTAAGCACAGTTTAAATTGAAGTATACCTATGGCCTTGTCTCCACGAGCCGTTTCACGAGATTTGTCCCAGGGAAAAATCCTACTTAGCAAGTTGGGAAAAATATTGAGTTAATCAATATTTTTCCCAGTACCAAGTATGGTACTTGTACCCCTAGGACCCACTGAGAGAAGAAGAAGAAGTGAAAATGAATTGTGCGATATTTTATTCATTACTACATTGTTAATGTTTGTCTAGTTAAAATAATGTGTCTAATTGTCAATAGAGTGCATTTATTATTATAATCCCGGTTAAATACTCGACTTTAACTACTTTATCTTCCCGTGCAAACTAGTCGCAGGACTGTATGAGCCCCGTCCCGTGGAGATGGTAACTGGGAAAAATCCCAGAAGTTTCATTCCTGCGATTCGAACTTGGAACAAATCCCATGAAAACATCCCGTGGAGACAAGGCCTAAGTCTACAGGCTCATACCTGACACCCAGGTGTCCCTGTCCCTATGGCATTGTGTACAGCTGATGAGGTTGCCATCAGCAAAATAACATCGAATTCTATCCTAAACTGTAGGCAGACAACTAAACTATTGGCGATACTAATGGTGACTGCAAAAAAATTTTCCTGCGCTGTGGGAGCAAATATATAAAAACGTATTACCCAACATGTAACTTTCTTAAAGAACCATCAGCGACGTCCATTTAAGTACAAAACTAAAGTGAGGATAAAAGAGCCTGTGTTTTTCGGTTTTTTACAAAATAATCTCGGAAAAAGTTTCCTTTTTTTTGTCCTTATTATTTCAAACGTGCTCAAGTGATGATCATATCTAAACAGTATTAAAAGCTATTTTTTTTCATCTTCTACAAGGCCCCATGAAGTTTGTTGGCTTGTGTTTGAGCTGAAGAGGACTTATTTCTTTCTACTAGACTGATAACAATCCAGCAAACATTTTTGAAATAAGTAGCTTTAATTATACATGAGGCTCATTCAAATATCGAAAGAAAAAAATTTTGCTCCTCAAATAATCCAACAAATAATTTATACTTTGATACCAGCTGCAAATGTGGCGGCATTACAAAGAACTAACCGTTTGTATATTTTGTTTCAGTATTGTGTCCCACTTAAAAAGGCCTCCTCTGAGGAAACGTCACCCAGATTTTGAAGCTCAGCCATTCAATCTAGCGGATGCTTGTGATAGTTTTTTATTGTTAAGGCATGCTTCGTTTTCCTGACTCAGAAGCGTGTCATGACCCAAGGCTGGTCGAGTGCATTCAGTTCATTTGCAAACATTCTTGTTCCTTCTCTCTTTTTTATGTTATTTTAAATGTTAGCCTCTCTTTTCAGCTGTTATTTTTTTGTTGAATGTTTTAGCTTTGAGTGCATTTTTACTTTTAATCCTCTGCCGCGCCCAGAAATCTGCTATTGAAAGGCAACACAATCCTATTTCTTAACCAACTTAATTTAGATGCAACCCAGCATTCAAAACTTATCTATTAAACACTGATAAGCAGAAGAGAAATTATTTTTTCCTTGGTAATTCTACTATGTAGATGAAAGAAACAAAAATTGAAGTACAGAATAAATACATGAATGAAGTTAGAAATTATCAGTCTATGAGAATATTTATAATCATGTTGGGTGTTCCCCAAAAATGACACATACTGAATTTCTTTTTAGTAATCGCGATTATCTTAGTCCATCAAACAAAACCACTCCCCAAGTATTGAATCAACTCACGACCGGGAAACTTAGATCATATGGTTACCAATACTTGAAACTACGATGAATTTACCTACAGATTTAAGTTGATAATTTTGTAGCTCAAATCTGTCATGATTTTTCAACAAGGATTCTTTTTGGCAGAGCAGTAGGTATGAAATGATGATTTTATGTTTTGTTACAGACAAACTTGTACATTAATTTGCTTTTACTTTATCCAAAAATTCATGTTTCAAAGATGTTGATTCTGTGCTAATCCTAAAATGTTATTGTGCAGTGTTAGAGTCAGTTGCAATGATCTCACAATATCAGTTTCACTTTTAAAAATATTCAATTAAGACTGCAATTACATTCTTGGAATGTCGGATTTTCTGATCTATTTAATTTAAGACGGATCAAAACATCGTGTGTGGGCTAGAACACTTTCAAAGTTCACTCATTTTAAAGTCCCAAACTTATGTGGAAATTAAAATGGAGAAGTAGGTTCATGAACCTGGATCCTTATAAGAAATATGACTGAGATCAGGAGAGGTTTACTCTATGGTTTCTCTCTCGTAAAAATTATGAGAAAAAATCCAAAATTAAGTAGGTTTTGTTTCATTACAGCAGAAAGTGGCTGGCTTCAATGATTCTTGTCTTTCTTGCGCTAGCTAAATACCTTGGTTCACAATGGCGTTGCTTCAATTTGTTTGTTAAGCTTTTGTGATTTGTCATGTCAGGCAATTTATTCCTACTGTCCTATTGGAAGATAGCCCGTTTTCAGTCAGTATTTTCTTCTCCTTTAAAAGAGATTGTGCCCTTTTCAAGAGTGTAATTACACTAGAAGTTACTGTAAATGGCGATTGTTTTCTGCTCTGGAAAGGAGTGGTAGAGAGATATGAGAAACAGTCCACACCAAGCTCTGTTCACAAACAACTGAAATAAATATTTGCCCCTGTCACTTGTCTTTGTGTGTTGATGTGACAATTTGTATTTTGCATGGTGGTCTTTACATCTGCTATTCCAGGATTGTTCATTCTATTAGCACAATTACCCGAACTTAGGCCAAAATGGTCGGAGTCAATTCCTCCTGCGTAGAAAAAGTGTCGCAATAAGTTTCTAGCTTCAAATATTTTGATTAATTGCTCAGTGATTATGTACAGCCATAATGATTGTGCCGCGTGTCACTTTTAAAAGACTGTTGAAGGTTCAAGCGAGTTTGCAAGAATCAGCCATTTACAGCAACTACAGAAATGCTTAAGTCATGTAAGATGCCATTATTGTTATCAAAAGAATGCGAGTGAATGTTCAGTATGAAAGCAAAATGTAAATAGCTTCTTTGTGTGAGCGAGTGTATGATGTGATGATTGTACAAGAAGATCTTAATTAGAGAATATTCTAGTCTTACAATGTAAGTATGATGTACGATTAATTTATTTTTGTAAATATTCATCAAATTGCTGGGGTTTTAATTCCTTCTGAATAAATTGTTACCAGCTCATGAAACAGCCTTGTCTATTCAGTTGTGCTAAACATGAGTCCCAAATTTTAATTCACTTCAGTACCTCCTCAACAGAAAAATTCAGTACTTTTTCACTACCTTCATTTGATGAGATTCAAAAAATTTCAAAAATTTGAATTTCTTGCTCAAATTGCGACAAAAATGACAAAAAAGTGAGTACAATTGCGGAATTTCCGCACTTTTTCAGTACTTCCGGACTGCCCTTAAAAAGTAGTACTATTTCCGGACTTGTAGACACCCTGACTTAAGCAGATATTTACTAGAAACAGTAGCGACCCTGTCAAGCCTATAGAAATCTCCAACCTAGAATGGGAGCCTCTACAGTATCTTACATGAACCCGTTCACATTCTGTGTTTTTTTAATCTTCACTTCTGATTCTCATATAATCTCAACACCTGAGATGAACTTCAACACAAAATCCCCTGTAATTTCATTAGTTAATGGGTTTCTATACGCTGGAGGGTGCTGATTTCAGAAATCTTACATAAGAAGTGGACAGCGCTATTCTGACAGACTTGATGCATCAAGGAGAGGTCATAATTTTTAAAATGGTTTAAAGAGGGAAAACACAATTTAATTTGCTTTCTATTATTTTATTTTTTCAAAATAGTTGTTTGATTCTTATACATGTTATTGAAATCAATGATAAAAAGGCACTTACAATAAAAAATTAAAGACTTTCACATGAAAGATCATACTCCGGTTCTAGATTTAATTCATCATGGTGATGGCGAGATGAATTGAAAAGAAGCTTTAAATAATTATTCTTGATAAAAACAAAACTTGATTAGGTCTTTGAAAATTAAGTGTTGTGTTACGAAACAAATGTAATATGAAAAAACGTATATTGACAGTGTAAGTTGGCAATCACATAACTTGGTGTGCGACGTCACAGACTTCCTGTCATACTTTAGTTTTTAAACGGAAAACTACTCAACGGCAATTCTTCAAAACTGCCGTGATTTTTCTTCTCTGTGCAAAGAAGATTCTGCATAAACTTCAAGGAATGATGTCAATTTGTTCTCCTTTAAAAAATGACATGGAGGCGGAGATTTTCAGACAAGTTATGTGATTGCCGACTTACTGCGTCAATATATTATTACATGTATTTTGTATTACGAAATAAATTGATATTGAAAAACTATATGTGATCACACATCTCCTTTGCAGCGTTTAAATATCTCAGCTACCATTTTATTTTTTGAAGGAGAACAAATCGATATCATTTCTTAAAGTTTTCACAGAGTTTTCTTCACACAGAGAGGAAAAATCACGGAAGTTTTCAAGAAGTAACATTGAGTAGTTTTTCATTTAAAAATAAAGAACACTGTAAACCGAGATACGTGGTCTAGTAGTTCCTCTGTCGAAATGCTGTTTACATTCAGCTGTCTTTTAGAAGAAACAACATTACAAAAATTAACAAGATATCACATGCTCAAAAATATGCCACAATAATAGAAGCAACATTTTTACTTTCTTTGGGCAGAGGTAATAAGAACAAACAATAAAAAGGATAAACCAAGTTATGGGGAAAATAATGATTCATTCCAGTCGGAAACAGAGGTACTGCTTTCAAAAAACATGGAAGACAGTATCATCACATGTCTTTCTGAGAGGAGGTATCTACAATAAATTTTAAAACAGTAATGTAGACTTCCGACCAATGTAATTACTTTCGGCTAATCCACAAACAGCAACCCTCAAAACACGATTCTACAAAGTGTGTATTTGACCTGCTCATCTGTGAAACTTTGCTTTGATGATTAAAAACAAAGGTCAACGAATGGACTATCAAAAGCTACTTACGAGGGGCGTTCAATAAGTAAGTATACCCCCTCTCTAAAATCCATTAGATGGACCAATTTTAAAAAACTTGGGCTCAAAATCTTCCTTAGGGTATTTTGAGTTCAACAAAATAAACCGCAACAAAATCGGACCATGTGCGGCCGAACGCGAGCCGTTTGAACGCGCCGAGGTGCACACCGCTCCCGCCAAATCTGCGGAAATTTGAAGTTCGCGACAAGAGAAGAGCTTCTCTGCCAACGCTTCAGTCGTTCATCACTGACGAAAAATCAAAGAAGTTTTTGTAGAATAAAGGGCTTACCTCACCTCTCCACATAACTAGCTCGATCCAAGCAGGTCTAATACTGATTGTGAGACTGAGAGAACAGCTTTTGGATACCATGCGTGTAGAGGTCTTTCAACTGGCTGGGGATGAAAGTGTTGACGGCTTGTTTGACCTCTTCCACTGATTCAAAATGAACTCCCCGAGTTCAGATTTTAGATACGGTAATAAATGGCCTTTATTCTACAAAAACTACTTTGATTTTTCGTCAGTGATGAACGACTGAAGCGTTGGCAGAGAAGCTCTTCTCTTGTCGCGAACTTCAAATTTCCGCAGATTTGGCGGGAGCGGTGTGCACCTCGGCGCGTTCAAACGGCTCGCGTTCGGCCGCACATGGTCCGATTTTGTTGCGGTTTGTTTTGTTGAACTCAGTATATCCTAAGGAAAATTTTGAGCCCAAGTTTTTGAAAATTGGTCCATTCCTATTGATTTTAGAGAGGGGGGATACTTACTTATTGAACGCCTCTCGTACTTGATCAACAGAGAAAAACTAATATGAATCATGGGATCAAACAGCATTATCACAGAAAATAATAAAAATTTAATTATTATCAAAAATAACAATCAATAGACAAGATCTCTCAGAATATATTTCTGACGTAACAGTACAAAATATAAAAGTTTACTCCTAAATCTAAATCTAATATTTAACACAGATTTCAATGCGGGATTTGGTTTAATCTTGAGAAGATATTGACAGAAAACGGACAGACACCTTAACCAATTGGAACCTAAAAGATTAAATTCAGAAATGTGTCCAAGGGTATGAGTAATTGCTGACTTGATTTCTACGATGTACGAGGAGTACAGAGTCAACATAGATTGTCAGGATTGGTAACAATCATCCTCTTCTCTCCCATATTTGTGAGTTTAATTGGAACATTTTGGAAAGTAGAATTTTTTAACTATGTCAAGGCTGAAGCATATTGGTATGATTTCATTAAAAGAAAAATAAAAATATAAATATCAGTGAAAATCAGAAATGAAAATACTGACTAAATCAAAAAAAATCTGCCATTCAAGCCCTTAAAAAATTCTATTGGAATGTAAAACAAAAAAGTTCTCCTTTAAGGGTAAGCTTTCCTCAAAGGATAGAAATTCTGTCAGTTGCAAGGGCTTGAATATTCTTTAGGAGGCTATAGCTAAGGGATTCACATCCACTTTTGACTTTTAAAGGCAAATTGATCAAGATTGTTACTGTTGCTGATTAAAAGAAAAACGAAAAACTTTGCGTGAAGTTCTGTGCCACCCTCAGAAAGTTTGCATTCACTGTCAGCATAAACCAAATCCCACTTCCAAAGTTTTTCGACGAAAATCTGCTTAGGAAAAAATCAACTTATGTATAAAAAATTAAAAATGCATGAGTTGAAATGATTCTTATGTGCTAAAGAGAAAAACTAAAATACAATATTTACTAAACACAAATTAAATCTTAAAAAAATTCCACAAATTTTTAAAATTTCTGGTGCAATATGTACAGACATTGATTCTCCCATTTAAGATAAAGATGAATTTTGTATTTAAAAATAAGGGATGTTGATCGAGACTGATTTTAAACAGCCCCAATATCTAGCAGAGGTATCCCAGATTTTGAGGGATTAAAAATCAGATATAATTGATACCTTTCCTATACATCTTGACTTGAATCACAGTAATTCTTTCAGGGCGGAAAAGGAAAAAGAACCCTCAAAAGCTGAAATGATTCCACATTTTTCATACTTTTGCGTTTTAAATGTAGATACACGTTTAAATTCTTCACCATAAAAACAAAGAATAGCAAATAAAGGTCATTCCACGTCAGGAAACAAAAAATTATTTACTTGTAGAAACAAAATATCCTTGATGAAAATAGGCAGAGGCCGTCGGGGTGCTGTACAGATATTTTGCCTTGGCTTCTTTTTTGGAAGGAATGTCAGGCTGCCTTCACCTCCAGAAAGGTTCTCCAAGGTGAAGTATATCATATTTTTCAACCTTCAATTTTTCAATTCGGGATTTCTATAATGCTAGCATCAGTTTCTTTAAATCGATTCATCGATGCAAATGAATTTTCCTTGTTCAACGTCTTTTATCGCCATTTTTCTATAGTTTCCGGTCTAACCACTAATGGTATAATGTATAGTATAAACTATTCAGAAGAATACCATTAGCTTGAAGTAGGGGGAAAAAACGGAAATCGCAGCAACTAATTTTGGAATACTCGTGTCAACAACTTCCCATATTTTATTTTCATTATTTTTCTAAGTCTCATATACAACTCATAAGGTTGGCTGGATCAGCCCCTTCTTCCTACAAATCTTACTTTTTCTTGTTATCCTCCAACCATCTTTCTTTAATTGCCCATAATTTTTAATTACTAAACTTGCAACTGATAGCTCCACTGATCATAGCCAGCCAATCGCGTATAGACTTGATGTCTCACCACCCATTACGTCATCAAGTCTATAAAAGTGTGTGCTGCTCATTTGACAACTCAGAATACCATGTAGAAAACCACCTTTTACCGTCTTTTTTGAGCATTTTCGACCGATTCCCATTTCCACTAGAATCCGTAACCAATCTATACACGTTATTAAGTGTCAATTACTCAAAAGTATGTACCTGAAGGTTGAAGCAGAGGGGAAAATACTGGAAACAGTAGTGACTTTTTGTGTTGTTTCTTAGAATGATGTAAAAGACCCCGTACACGAATTTTCAGCCAAATCGAAGGGGGTCCGTTACCGGGCCTGGTTGAGCTGACATGGAATGACCCATAAGTAAGAACATAACATGACTCATTGATAGAAGGATTCATATATCTACTAAAACATTTTAAGATGGAGGAAATATTAAAAGATGCTCTGTTGTAGAAAAATATTATTAGTTTTTCGTTATTTCTTAGGAAAAAAAAAATCCACACATTCGTGGATACTTAGAAAATTAACTTTATCGCATGAAAGAGGTGTTTGCAGAGGGGAAAATTTTCAAGGAAGTACATAAAAAAATAGTAGAGCGCTTAAAACTACTTTCAGATGCCAATTTTCATCTCATTCAATCCATATGTTCTGTTGCATCTTTTGGCTTTTAAGGGATTTGGGGTATTCTTTAGATAATTTTGTCCCGGGTGATCTTATTTCCATTTGACTGATAATTTCGTAAAATCTTCTTACGTTATCTGAAGCCATTCTGTGTGACAGAATTAAACATATATTTTTCTTGAGGGCCCAAGCGCGGAATCCAAGTTTTGAGAAAAACTGTTCAATTTGGCTTTTGCTCAATCTTTCCCAAGCCAAAAAAATGTTGTTGAAACTGGGCTCAAAAAATTAAAACCTGTCGAATGGCACACTTTTTCCCCAGTTTTTTCGCAGTTTGGATTTTGACAATGGGCCCTTTGGAAAAATATCAGTCCAATTATACCATTAAGGAATGTTTTTCTAATTATATGCTCGATGAGACTGATTTATAATCAGAGAGATTATTAAAATTAAAAGACTAGAATCTTAATAATTTATAAAAAGAGGCTTAAGAAAATACAACAAAACTTATTCAATTTTTTAAGAGGCTGTTGTGTAAATAGCTTGATGGGGGCTTAAGCATGAAGAATGTGACAAGAATATAAGAGAGATAGTGATTTCCAAAAGGTTTTTCGAAGCACAGGCGCCTTTCGATTGAACTTGATTTATCGGTATCTCCTCTTCCACAAGATAAATTAATGAAAAATAAACAAATCAAGGAAGTATCAAGAATACAGCATTTAAAATTTAAAATCAAAGAATACTGCAAACGATAGGCAAAGACAGAAAGTCAGCTAAAACTTCAAACAGTCAGGTGCATACCTTAACAACATTCTAAGACTTGAAGTTGGCAGATATTTTTAATTCTTCTAGCCCGATTCTTCCATGGTGTCGCCAAACTCGATACCTGGCTAGATCTTTACGTGTCACCATACCAACAACCTGAAAAAAGCCAATAAAGTTGCAATATTTGCGTTCCTATTTAAAACGGCCAAGGCAAAAAGTTAGATTTCAAGTTTTCATCATGTGCATAGAGGCAAATATATTGTTTCCTATATGATGATCATGTTTTTGATCATGAAGTTTGACTAAATTTTGCACACTTTACTAACAGGTTTCACAAACATTGAATAACTTTTAGCAGAGCATGGAAAGTTTTAAAAACCTAAACCTATCATGAAATTTTCCACACCACAAATTGGAGTCTTCTAATAAGCGTCACCATGAAATACTGTATGGTGTTTTTTTTCTTTGCTATACACTGGTGCAGTATGTTAGGATTATCACTTTAAAAGCATTTAAGGTGCTTCGACGGACGCCATTTTTTGTGTCAGAGTGACATGCGATCTATCGCATTGATTTTTTCCATAATTTCAGCTACTTGTCATTTTTTTGAATTTTGAGATCGCACTTCTGTTGTCTTGAGACTAAAGCATTCATGTACCGACAAAGAAATTCAATGTAATAAGGGTAGGGTTTTTTTAGGGAATAAATACCGCATTCGATACTGATATCGAAACTGCACTCGAATGCAACGTTTTTCCTCTAAAAAAAAACCCTGCCCTCATTACATTGAATTTATTTATCAAAATTGGTACATGAGAGCTTTAGTCTCAAAACAACAGAAAAGCGATCTCAAAATTCGAAAAAAATGACAAATAGCTGAAATTGTGGAACAAATCAATGCGATATATCGCACGTCGCTGTGACAGAAAAAATGAATCACCTTGAGACTTTGTTCACACAGCCACAGGCTTATGAAATTTTCAGGTCTTCTCCTGGAGGAAGTTTTTTTTTTTTTTTTTTTTATTAAATTAAAGATGTACAACTGCCCCTTGCGGGGCATTAATTACATTAGTGCTAATGTTAAAAACTAAAGCTAATCTTAGATCTAAGGTTACAAGATTTTGTCTTTAATAATAAAAACATTCAAACCTGACCTACGCTTACAATTATTACTACCTCGTTATCATCATCAATCATACAAACATACACACTAAAAGGAGGGCAGATGCCGAAATTTGGCAAACGCTAAAAGTAATAAGCTATTTTAATGTCTTTACAAGTAACGGCCATCGTTGTCATGGACCCCCACTGCAAAGCGAAAACTCACCAAAGGTGTTCTGCTTAAGATAAACCATGGTTGCTGATTTAATGCAACACCCCTCTGGCCAAGTCATAGGGCTTCACCCTACGCAGCCTCCTGCTGGGGTCATCGCTGTGTGCCTGTTGAGCTAGCGGGTTAGGGTGTGCGTCCAGTCTCATATGGTGGCGCACTGCCGCTCTCTCAATTATCTCTGTCACCGATTCTACGTTCAACTCCTCTCTGATTCTCTCATTTGTAACGAACCATGGGGCCCCGGAAATCTGCCTCAACACCCTGTTTTGGAAAGCCTCCACGAGGTATTGATTCGACTTCCGGGTACATCCCCATAGCTCGCATGCATACATCCAGACTGGACGCAGCACTTGCTTGTAAAGTAGTACTTTGTTGCCTGTGGAGAGTGCCGAGTTCCTCGCCAAAAGCCAATACATTTTTTTATACTTGATGTTCAGCTGCTGGCGTTTCTTTTTAACATGATGTTTCCAACGCAATTTTGAATCCAGAGTTACCCCTAGATAAGGCGCGTTATCTGTGAACGGCACCGGATCCCCACCTATCATCACTGGTAAATAACCAACCTTACGGTTGGTGAATAGCATGAGCAGGCACTTGGGACGACTGAGAGCAATCCTCCAGTCCCAAGCCCAATCCACAATCCTATCCACCGACCGCTGTAATTTAGTAGTGGCTTCAGGGAGGTCCCTATCACTCTCCAAAGCCGCAATGTCATCAGCGAAGACGCCCATCAGGCCGTCCTCAGCTGTTTCGGGTAAGTCCCTGGTGAACAGGGTGTATAAGATTGGACCTAAAACGCTACCTTGTGGAACACCCGCAAGGATGAACCTAGTTCGAGAATATTCATTGCCAAATCTCACTCTAAAGAACCGGCCCTCAAGATACGATTTGAGCATATCGCAGTGATTTGCGGGTAGTATGCTTTTTAATTTGAAGAGCAACCCCTGGTGCCAAACTCTATCAAAAGCCTGTGCAACATCTAAAAAGATTGCAGCACAGACTCCCTTTTTTTCCAATGTTTCTTCCACCAGGTTTACTACCCGATGTACTTGTTGGACAGTAGAGTGTTTTTGCCTGAACCCGAATTGTACATCGGGTAGTGCCTTTGTTTCAGATAACACAGGTTTAAGGCGTTTGAGATAGAGCTGCTCCCAGAGTTTGCTCAACACTGATAACAATGAGATCGGTCTATGAGAACTCGGTTGATTTAGATCCTTACCGAGCTTTGGTATTAGAATAATCTCAGCCTCCTTCCAAGGCACAGGAAAGTAGTTGTTTTCAATAATATAATTAAATATACGTGTAATCTTTCCTATCGCCTTGCCAGGAAGCTGTTTGAGTATTTCTCCCCCAATTTGGTCTCTTCCGGGTGCCTTCTTTCGTTTAACTCGAAATTTTATTTCATCTCTGACCTCTTCGTGAGTGAAGCGAGCTATTTCTTCCTCAGGAAGAGGCTCAGGTTGAGGCAGATCTTCCAGATGTACACCCGGAATATCCTCGTTGGGGCAGAATACCTTCTCCAAGTGCTCGGAAAAGACCTCCGCCTTTTCTTTATCGGTTTTAGCCCAACTACCATCCTCCTTTTTGATGGGAGGAGAGTAGACGGCCGTATTTTTTAGATACCGTATAGCCTTCCATAGCGAGTAATCCGAAGAGGGCTTGGCATCCAGTCCCCTCAGGAAGTCCGCTGTATTCTTATGTTTATACTCCCACATGAGAGAGTTCAATTCTTTATTGATTTTATTGAATGCTGTTTTATCGCCAGGAAAGCGAGTCCGATGCCAGAGATTACGGGCTCGGCGGCGTGCTGTTATTAATTTTTTCACATCCTTCGGTATGCGAATGCTATACGGCATCCTTTTTGTAGGCGGAGTGCAAGACTTGGCGCACTCCTGGATCTGAAGCACCAACAAAGATATTTCGTTATCAAGCTGGTCATTACTAATAATAGGGGACTCGGTAATTAAGCTCGACACTTTCTCACGGAATGCGTCCCAATTTGTCTTATCATTGAATAATGGCCTGGAAGTTTTCATCATCCAAAAAAAGGCCTTATGAGCTATGTTAAATCTAGCGCCAAGAGATTCCTGCAAAGATCACTTCATCAATCTTAGAATTCTAGCCGTTCCCTCCCTCGCAATCAACGGGTACATTTCTAATTTTGTAATTGAAACCTCATTCGCTCCAGAGGCCCTTAATCCCAGTAAAATCGATACCACATTTCATGTCACTACAAATGCCACCAAGAACAGCCACTCTCTAAGGCGCGGCCAAATTCTGTTCGAGAAGCTCCCCACAGCTTTAAAAAGTAGATATATATATAAGAATAAAAATTTTCGTATTTTTCTAAAAGAAATTTTATTGCCAAAAGTTTATAAATTGAAGCAGCATATTTAGCATGAGTCTTGTTTAATTTTTTTCTTTTCTTTTCTTCTTTTTCTTTTCTTTTCTTTTTTTCTTCTATCCTCATTAACATTGACATATTTGTTCTAGCCGTTATGTCATGTACATTCAAAAGTTTCAGGCGTAGATTACGATTTTTAAATGCAAATTTTGAATGGTGGCCAGTAAGAGTAAATGGAATGAGTATGTGCCTTTATTACGAAATAAAGAAAAAATAGTGTAATCTATAGATCGGATGTCTGGATATAAGATAAAAATAAAAAAATTAGATTCTGAATGAAGAAGTAGTTAAAGGACATCCCTAAACAATGATGTAATGTTGATTTCCTCGAATAAAAGTAAAAATATGAGATGTATGAAATGGTCAAGGAAAAAAAAGAAAGAGAAAAAATATGCCATGATGATGTGGGCGTAAAATATTTGATCATTTAATGAAATTCCTTTCAACAAAATAAGTGGAAAGGCCTCAAAAACACTTCAGCAAAACTAGGTAAGAGCTGATTCCACTCTCTTCTTTTATCCTTCTTTTCCTCATTTTTTCGGAGGACCAAAACCTCAAAAATAGTTAATTTCTTAAGTAATCTGGAAACAATTGAGAATGAGCATGAAAAATACACAAAAAACTCGCTAGACTTACCCCAAACATGTCATCAACGATGATTAAGTGGCGTAAACCAAGCGCACGAAAAAGTCTGAAAACTCGTGGTAACGATGCAACCTGCAAATCAAAATAGTATGAGAGTACTGACTTAGTATAAATGAAATATTTTAGAACTACATACAGAAAAGTCAGCAAAAATCCGCTAATTTTCTTTAAAAAGGCTGCAAACCAAACAAAACAAAAAAATATGTGAAACCAGGACGTTTTAAAGAATCACAACTTCATTTTCAACATGCAGAACAAAAAATTAAATAATTAAGAATAAAAAAAACGAGAGAGGAGTTGTCAAACACTGTTATTGCAAACCTGGCAGAAGTCAACAACTCATTTTTCTTTGCTTTTTCTTTTTTGTTTGATTCATTTTATTCTGTTGGAAACATAACCTCCTGGTTTTACTGTATTTTTAGGTTTTCCACCTTTGTTTTTCATTGTGTATTTTTAGGCTGATTAATATGTACAATAATTTCCTCACATTCTTCATCAAGCCTGGTTTTTTCAACTTTTAGGAGTCCCGAAAAACTTGGAAATTTTAGGATTAAACTTTTTAGGTGACAAGATTTTCTCTCATCTAAGGGAGAGCGGAGGTAACGGATGGATACTTACATGTTGAACGACGTACGGAGATGGATTCATGTAAGGCCTTAAGTCAATTTTCAAATGTCGATCTTCTTCCGCAACATCCACTTGCTGGAAAAAATGAAAACAAGAAGATACTAATAAGAGATACTAATAGCTCAACACTTCTTGCTCAATTCTTCTTTTTTTTGAGGGGGTAAATTTTTTTGACATGCGTTATCCTACGCAATCAACCTACGTTACTTTCATCATTTCATTGACAGAATGACTATTATACTTGGAATAAACTTAGGAATTTCGTTCAATAGAATAACATCCAACGCTTTGTACATTTTATCTTTCAGTTGAGCGAAGGTAAGCAATGGTGCATGTCAATAAGAGCAGTAGGAGGTATAAAACTGCACAAGCCCTTAGCCAAAATACTTCGTTAGCTTAGAAAAATTTTGAGCACAAAAAATTGAGAGAATTTGGCGTTAGCTTTTATTTTTGCTAATTAAAAATTAAGACAACAAAAAAGTCTTCATACAATCGATCCATCAAAATAAGTTTCTATTTTGACTTCAAATTGGTATACTTATGATTTGATCTTACCTCGGGAATAATTGAATAATTAGCGAAAAGGAACCAGCACGATTACTCACCATGTTATAAAATGTTGCTTCTTCATGTATTTCTAAAAAATCTCCCAGAACAGCGACTAGTTTTGGCTTTTCACCAAAGAAACTATTAAAAGGAAATTAGTTGGGTAAATTTTAATACTGAACTCATGTTAAGTATTTTCAAAAGAAAAGGAGAAGTTGCACAATTTTGAAAACACTGTAATTGCGCTGGTTCCTTTTTGCTAAATGCAATCCAATTGACAAACATAAACGGGAGGTGGTATTTGTAAGAAAAGAGATTGCAGAGAGATAGATGCTGAAAATTGTGAAGAAAATTTAGGAGATATTAATTTATCATATCTACACACTAGCCTATATAAAGAAAAATGAGACTCTGTTTTACAAACCTCAATTCTTGGATAGCGAGGATATTCATTTCTGAACATGTTTATTGTCTCACGTTGGTCAACCATGCCGCTAGGGTATTTGTATGCTTTGTTCAGGAGTAAAACTATCAGCTGGTCTCTCAGTATTAAACCACAGAGATGACCACATGATTTAGGAGATGAGGTAGGCTAAAAAAGAAGAAAATATAATATCACTTTAGGTAAAAATAATTTGACAAAGATACTACGAAGTGAGCAATAAAAGAAAATATATAAAGTAAACTGACAGTGTGGTTTAGCGCTGAATGAAAAGACAAAAGAACCTTAACTGTACTCTGGATTTAATTGATTTTCCTGACACAACATTCATTTTTTTTAAAAAAAAGAAGCTATTTATACATTTTTTAAAATAAGTAACCAATGATAAAAAATACTGACTCTGAAAATACGAATTGGGATGCGAAATGATGGTAATTTATACTCTCCTTCTTATCCCGGGGATTTTCAAAACATTAACCTTTTAGCGGCTCTGGTGCTTGCACTAGAGCTGTTATTCCGGACGGTCCCAGCTGGGGAGTATCATTGGACCATGTTACATTGGAGAGACCGCGCGTTGGTTAATGGGAATCGGCGCCATTTTCGGCTATGTTCCTTGTCATGACTTTATTTTATTGCATATTGTTTTATTGTTAGCCAATGCTATGTTGTGTAGTGTATTTTTGGAATCATGGTGATACAGTCAATAATTCAAAACTTGTCTGTGCTTTAATCTCGTGATGGAAAAAATGTACTTTACGTTCAAAATTTGAAAATTTGAATTTTAAAGTTTTCGCGGTTAAGGAGGCTCCAACCACTGGGTTGGAGCTTCCTAGTCATATTACTCGATATCAGCTGATAGCAAACAAAGGTTACCAAGGAAACCGTAAACGTCTAATGCCGTCTGCCCACGTAGCAAATGGGAGGCGAAAATGGAAGTCATCAGTGCATCGTTGAGTGTTGACGCCCGATCCCATTTTCAGACATGTTCACACGTTTTGCTTGCAAAGAAAAAAGGCGGCAAATCAATTTTTATTATTGGACCAATGAGTGTTCTCCAATTTGAGTTTGTAAACATCGTGGTTTCTAGGTTAGGTTTTTGGCTGTGTGATAAATGATATTATGCCGTCTTTGATTTTGTTAAAATGACTCGATATATGTTATTTGATAAACGATTGGAGTTTTGATAAAGTAAGTTGATTTGAATTAAAAATTGTGTCCTTAAAAAATGGATGATGAGGTGATTTGGTTAACATGGGCATTTGTGGTACTTGCGGCGTATTGGGAGTTTGTATGGAAACGACGTGGCAGTAGTCCACACTTTTTACAAGAAACTATTTTGTACAAAGTTCTGTACAAATTTTACACTATTTATACAGTAATATAATACAAAAAAATTATGTACTTTATCACAACTCACATAGCTTCAAAACAAGATAGAAAATGATGGATGCTCAGCCCCGACACATCGATGATCTCGAAATTTGCGCGGCCCGCGCAATTTTCACGTTCAACACTCACCGATGCACTGATGCCTTCCATTTTCGCCTCCCATTTGCTACGTGGGCAGACGGCACACAACTACCGTGGCCATCGGGGCGATTATTGAAATGACATCGACTCTATGTCGCCGCTTATGACAATACATATAGCCCTATCTTAACCGTGTAATATATCGCAATTCGATATTCAAAACCATTACCTACAATTTCAGATATAAAAATGCAAATTTTTTGCAGCCTCGCTAAACGACTTATCAACCATGCATTCCAAAGTTTCTTATCACAGGGCTGTGAAAATATACAATCTAATAAATACAAAATAACCAAATATCTAAAAAGACAAAATTTCAGTTACAGTCAGTTTCAGTCTTATTGTTGCACAAACTAGTTATTTGACAAGAAAAGAAGATGATGACTCAATTGAAAGAAATTGGCGCCCAATCACAACGACAAGTTAAAAAAAATACTGTGGGAGAGATTTTTTAGGATGCGGACCTCCAAAGAGCCTTGAAAATGAAAAGTATACAACAAGTGATAGTGGCATGCATTCTGCATATCAAGGGCCAATACACATTTATACACCGGCTACGTAAATCTGCTAAGTTACAAAACATGAATCGACAGTTGTCGGATTGTACATCAGTGACAAAATGTGTCTAGGCCCTCATTCTTGACTACAACTACTGTCGCCAGAGCCGCTCTCCGACGCGAATGCGTTGGAGCTTCCTGCTTGTTTTTTTTTTTAACCTTTTTTTCTATATTTTTGGTTTCCTGATTTTTTCATTTGATGAAGTCTGATGAGTGGAAAGTGGTGAAAATAATAAAAAAATGTCAATATCTTAATTAAAGCTACAACTTTGATGCGAATAACCTTCTTTCACTGCATCTTTCCATTGGAAAGAAAAGCCATGACAAATACTCTCATTTCAATGAATACATGGAGCCAAGACATAGATAAGAAGCACAAATAAATCTTACTTTATTAGACTGTGCAACTTCATCGAGTGGTTGAGAGTCTATGACAGGGAATCCATTGTGCGTAAGATTTGAAAGATTGTCAATTATATTCCCTACAGTTTCAACAACTGAGAAGGTGACAACAGGATAGCTCATGACTTGATTCGCATAAATGTTACCAGACAATGGCGGTGGCTCCCAGGCAAGTAAGGGCACTCCTGACAGTTGGATGTGATAGTCGTAGATACCCTGGAATTACAAATAACGAGAAAGATTTTGTTAAAAAAGAGAAATGACAACCAAAGAAAATATAAATCAATCTAAAAATTAAGGATTAAACGTCAAGCTTTAAAATGTAATGTCCATGAAAATGATAGATGATACTTTCAATAAAAAGGGGCAGTCCTGATTATGCTTGCATTCACAGCATGACCACCAGAGTTCTTTTAAGGTCTGAACATTTTTAAAATTCCTCCCAAGAATGACTTGCCTCAAAACGAAGACCAGAAAATCATTATGTTATTGTTTTGAACAATTTTTTTTTTTTGACAAGCAGCATGATGGGCAGGATGTACAAAAACTTTTGGGGAAAAATCCCCAAATGGATGAAAACGGTTTACTGTCAACTTCCCTAAAAGCCTTCTTACCTAAAAGCTCTTGGTTTTTCTTTTCCAATTTATAATTTTCCGGGAACTTCCTTTGACCAGTCGAAAAATCTCGAAAGATAGAGGATAAAAGAGCATGGAGAAGAAATTCCTGTCTTTTAATAGAAACTTTCTGATCTTCACGGATAAATTTATACTATAACTTTGTCTTGACTGATTCTTGGTTTTGCTTTTAAAGCCCTGAAAAGAAAGTAACGGGCATATTTATTACCTCACTGAAGAAGTCTCCAGTCCATTTTGCAGTAATAAGAGTGATCATGAGGGGCAAACCAAAGGTAATGTCTCCAGTGGCTTCAATTAGAATAATTGTTAAACTAATTGTCATTCGCACGATTCCACCTAGTTGTGCGGCAGCTCCAATCAAAGCATACTTTCCTGGATCAATCCAACCCTGTTTTCAAAAAAAACATCTCATAACTTAAAAGGAAAATAACCAAGAAACAGAACCAAACAAAAACTTATTTTTATTGAGACAGGATGGTTGAAGTGTTAATAATCTATCAAAAGTAACTCAATGATGATTTTATTATAAAAAAACAGATAAGAAATATATGAAGAAAAACCTCAATTTTTTGGTAATTGTAATTCATTATTCGTATATCAATTTTGTGGAATTCCGAGAATGATTCAACAAATTGCAACTAAATAAGCAATACTTATAAAGCGATAAAAAATGGGTTAAAGTTCAGAATATGAATAAAGCTTAAAAATTATTTTGAACAGTATTCAAGAGGGTGTTCAGGTGATGAAGGTTGAGAAAGATATCGTGCACGACGTCATGTCCAGGCAGTTATGCTGGTATGGACATGTGCAAAGAATGTCGGAGGAGAGGTTGCCCAAACAAGTTTTGGATTGGGTACCACCTGGGAAGAGGCGACGGGGACGTCCCGTAAAGGGTTGGCGGCGGCGTTGACGAAGAGATGTTGCGGTGTCAGTTGCCCGATAACCTCTGGGAAGACAGGCATATGTGGCGTTTGGGTGTCGTAGAACGCCAGAGTGCGTTATAAAGCGACTTTATATATATATTCAAGAGGGTGTTCAGGTGCTGTTCACTTGATTTGAAACGCAGATACGGAAAATAAGTTGTCTAAAGGCGTACCTACTTTTTAAGAAATAAAACGGAAAAAACTGATAGATTACCGCTCCTGGAAAAATGAACTGCAGAATTTGACTGAAGAAACGACCCCATGCAGCACCAATAAGTAGGGATGGGATGAATAGACCACCAGAAACACTCAGTCCAAAAGTCCAAACAGCCATCAGGAAGTAGACCATGATGAATAAACCCAATGATAAAAATGACAAGGCGGCTAAAATAGTAATTGTACAGAATTGTTGAAAAAAAATAAAAAAGTTCTAAATCTGCAACACTATAGTTATAGAAAACTGTATTTAGTATGGAATCAAGAAACAGCAGGTAGAACAAGAGGCAAAAAATCTTTTCCTGATGAACTCAACCTCATTTTAGTACATGGAACCGTTTATATTCACTTGAGACTGATCAATGTTGCGCTGAACAGTTCACTTAAGAAGTTGATCATGTTGAATCTTGTTTGCTGATTCAATTGCTCAATAAATCAATCATCAGTCACCATAATTTGAAAGTGGATGTTGACCTAAATAATTTATGCAATATGAGAAGCTTTATTCTCTTGATTCCCAGAATATTTTGTTCTTGACAGTGTTCTTCAAAGGTATATTAAAAATTTAATTTAATAAACCTAGTAAAGTAAACCTCTTATATGCTTAAAAAGTGGAAAATCGTATAATAAGACAAAGAAAGCCAGAAATTATGCAAACCTGGAGGGTCATGTAGTAAAGCTCGAACACTCCTCTCAGGAACTTGCAACCATAGTGCTGCCACAGTGTTGTATTGTCCATCACCACAAAACATCTGTCGAATAAGAAAAAAAAGAGAAAAGGCTAAGTCCTACATTGTAAACATTGCAATTTTTCAACAACCAAGAAAAGATCTGATACCTGAAAGATTGTTCATTATTTCATTGGACCGCTTGGTGGTGACCTAGGCGATTGACAACTCATTGGACATTTTGCTTTCATTTTTCTCTCCTTACCATGCCGCCCTTGTCCTGGGGCATTTCAACATTGAAACTGTGTATCTTGTTTGCGGAGTTTTGAAATCTCCGTACCTGTTTTATTTTATAAAGAAAAACCAATCATTCATTCATAGTAGTTCTCACAGAATTTTCTCCGCACAGAGAAGAAAAATCACAGCAGTTCTTCAGAATTGCCGCTGAGTAGTTTCAGCTTTAACCCTTTCCGGTCCAATGTCGGATATATTCGCCGTGAAAAATAACGCGTTTAGGTCCGATGTCGGATATAGTCGCCCTAAAGTTTTAACCTCTGTGCAGGCCTGATGTCCGGTATATTCAACTGCTCCAGCAAGTGGCGGCCTCTAGTGGACCCTCTGGAAACCACTGCCTTTGTTGACAACATCGCTGCTACCTTAACCTCGCTTCTCGCGGCCGTGGAAAATTGCTGCGGACAGGAAAGGGTTAAAAACTAAAGTATGACAGGAAGTCTGCAATGTCGCAAACCAAGATATGTCGTTTGGGAATTTCACTATCACTTATACCAGATCCTCTGGTATTCAATCATTGGAGCAATGACTACATATGGCCAAAAACTATTCAATAAATTCATGGTACTGTCCATAGTAATTACCTGGACAGGATTTTCAGTTGGATCTGTTTCCAGTGGTTTGCATTCATTGATGAAGTATATCATTAACATGGGCACGGCCGTACTGACCATCGCAGCAATCACAGCTTCCATTATCTTTTTCACTTTTGTGTTGACATACCTAAATGGAAAAAAAAAAAAAAAAAAAAAAAAAAAAAAAAAAACTTCTTAAGTACAGTTTAATTTACTCTAGAGGTATCATAGAGGTGATCATTGCTTATTTTCAGTGACAACTATTTTGAGTTATTCTTCAATAGGACAGTTGTGCTAGTTACAGAATCATGTTTTGACGATTTTAAATTATACATCAACAAAAAATATTAAAATCCGTCCAATCACCTGGTTCCCTTGTCCCGTTTTAATGAGGATAGTGTTCTTCAAAGAACGAAACATATGATGTCATCCACCATGGTGGTGCATACTATTGTTTTTCTACTTTGGTTTCATCCGTATTTCTGATTGAGTAACCAGTGCAAATGTGTGTATTGCCAACGAACGAATCAAAGATGGGAGAAACTAGAGTATGTACAGTGGACGAAATCATTCATTGTATTATTCAAAGGACGATACCTCTATAAATAAGGCATGTAGAGACTAGGTGCTTGGACCAATCTTATTATTTTATGCTAACTTATGAGCTTGAACCTTTAAACAAAATTCTGTTACCGGTGCAACTGACCAATTATTAAGGGAATTTTTTGTAGTTCTAACCTACTCACACTTTACCCTGTATGATAATGGAATTTTTATGAAAACTTATTTACAGATTTAGGGCTTGTCAAAATGCAAGCAGAGCAATTTAATATTCTTAGCACAATAACGTATCAGAGGCTAGAGTTTGTTAATGTTTTCAGAATACCAAGACCCTTGTAAGAAATACGAAACTGCCCAGCAAAAATACCAAAAGAACATTCGAATGTTGCCAGATTTCTCCTAAAGAAGTATGTATTTTTCGGAAAAGTTATGAATATTCTTCCTTGAAATTTTCAGATACTTTGGCCAAAACAGCGCAGAAAAAGTTTGGAAAATTTGGAAGAAAAATATTCCCAAATTTTTCGGAAAATTCTTATTTCATCAATTGAAATTCAGCAGCATTCAAAGGCTCATACGACGTTCTTCTTTGGCGGGGCAGCATTGTGCTTCAAGTATATTCAGATAAATGATTTTTCTAACGATAATAATTTCCCTCCAATAATATTTTCAGTATTAAGTTCTTCTCTAAAACATTTTTGGATCATTACTTCATCTCTAAAAAATTGTGCCAAAATGACCATTAAAATACGTATATTTGTAGTATGTTTAGAAGAAAGGTACCTGATTCGAAAGACAGTCAATTTGTAATTGAACAAATTGAACACAGCTCCAAGAATACCACCTATGCCACCCATCATGACAAATATGGCCAGCTCAAACAGATCATAATTCAAAGATTCGAATTTACCAAAGTTCAGGAGACCAGAGAATGATAGTTGACCTGTGACAAAACAAAAATTAAATACTTCTGAGGATTCACTTTTGCTATAATTTTCTTGACAGTCAATTCACCGACTTAGATTGAGTTCTCTTCTGCATTTTACCTCATTATTTTTGGAATCACACAAAAAGATTAAATTTTTCCTGCAAAAATCAGGTACAAATTCTTAAAGAGAATGTTATTCTTGGGAAAATTTAAATACACTTTTCAAATCAAAAGCGATTTTCATAATTGAACGTATTGACTGAGGGTACTCAATTTTGTAAAGTATTTTATGATTGACATGTTTTGACTGAGGAAGTTTCAAAGGATTTGAAGTTTTTTAAGGGGAAATCCTTTAAAATATTACCTGGGTGACCATGATATGCACTGAGAATAAGATTGAGAGTAAATGTGGAGACCATTGAGGCAAAGAATATGCGCCATGTTAGGCTCTGATTCCAAAAACTGGCACCCTCCTCAAGACTGAATAAAACACCACCTAGAAGAAGGAATTTTGTTAGGTATAATGGATAAACATCATTAAAAAGCTTATGTAAATTAAATACTAGAAAAAATATTGAAGGTTAAAGTAATTAGGAAGAGGATAGTGTGCCTGATAAAAATAATGGATGTTGCCCGACAGTTGAAGTGGGACTAGACAGGCCATATCCAGAGAGCGGATGCTTAAAGATGGGTGAACAATAATACACAAAGCAGAGGATGGAGACATAAAACTGACAGAGTTTAACAGACACACATCGAGTCCCATTAAGTTTGAACTGAGAAAATAGGTTGAGTTTTATTCCTCCATAGAACTGAATGTTAAGGGTAAAGGTTCGTTAGGTACTTTTTTGATGTTCAAAATATTTTCTCAAAGACTTTGTATTTTTAAAAGGAGAAAATTTAAGGTTGGTTGTTTTCAAAACTATTCCTAACTCACTTCTTCCCAAATTGCTACTTGGGGCGTTTCGGTTAACTAAGTCCATATAGTGGAGATAACTGGCAAAGCGGAGTTACAATAGCCTGATTGCTGAAATTTTTTGTTTGTCGGGATGACATAGAAGACATAAGTTAAAAGACAGAGCATGATTGGTCGGCTACGTCTTATCGCTGCTTTGTCGTGCCTTTGTCAGGTGGAATGGATGACATACTGTCGGAAACTTACGGTGCCTTTAGCTTGTCATGAGTTCAACCCGATATAGGCGCGGTAAAATAGCAATAAAACATAGCCGACCAATCACGCTCTTCCTTTTAACCTACATCATTTATGTCGTCCCGACAAACAAAAAATTTCAACAATCAGGCTGCTGGTGGTAGCTGACGGAGAAGAATGGCAAAGCATAGCTCAAACCCTCTAAAAATTCATTTAGAGAAACAGTGGCATTAACATACTACATACTGTGAGAAGCTTCCACCATACTCATTGTGAACGTTACAACTCAAAATTAATTAGAAAAACTCCTCAGGGAGACGTCTTGCTCCAAAAGGGTGCAATAAGGCTTATCTTATGTAATTTTACAAAATAAAAGATTATTTTCCTTCATTTATAAAACAAGCAAGAGCAGCGATCAGCTATTACTTCAGACTCAACTTGCTTGAACGGATCCTGGACATAAAGCATTGGAAATTCCACAAAAGGTTCAAACTTCTAACATGTTGTCATTCAAAAATTTCTACATTCCGGAACAATTTTTTTCCCATGTTCTTGATGCCACTTTCAAGATAAGATTTTGTTTTGAATGCATAAAGTGCAAATTTGAGCTCATTGATTAAGTGTTAGTCCGCAAAAATACAGCAAAAATGCCAGTTGGTGGCTGGTGAGTGAGGGAATCATTGTTTGTGAACCGAACAGGAAAAGGGAAACCCTCCAATAACACAGTGCAGCACAATGGGGCAAAGAAAAGATTCCTGCATTGACTGACAGCTAACTGGCATTGTAGCTGAATTTATGCCGACTAGAACATAATCAATAGACTCAAAATTGTACTTTTCACGGTCAGTGTCTCCAAAATGGCATTGTAGATTGGGGAAAAATTGGTAAGGCTCTTAGAAATTTTAGAATAGGAACAGAGACAGTTTCAATGTGAGAAATTTCCAACGCTTTCCATGAAAGCTCCGTGATACATTCAAAATTTTAGTTTTAGGCTTTTGTCATTCAAAGGTCGTGGAGAACATAGTACTGAACGAGATAATGAAAACAAATCAACACCGGATTCCTGAAAGTTTTTTGTGATTTCATTTCACAACAAATATGCGGTGTTCAAAAGCAACTTCAGGAGTTCAGGCACTTACCAACAGGAGCGCCAAAAGCAGCTGCAACACCAGCTGCAGCACCGCCAGATACAAAGTCTCGTTTCTCATGGTCTTCCCTGAAGTAATTGAACACACCTAGATCTTTCCTTAACGTTGTGCTTTTGCCTTGTGAGATGCCAGCTGCAACTACTGCTCCAGAGTGAATCATAGGACCTTCCTGATGAGAAAAAAAGATTGAAATTATGAACAATGCGCATGATATACTTGGTTATGGTTAGAGTAAATAATTTCAATGAGTCAGTTGCACTGCTCAAAAAATCGTATTTTGATGCTTAATCCTTGTAGATTAGCCAAAAATAATAAGATCTGTCCAAACCGCAACTTCTTATGTTCGATATTAACCGAGATATAATGCTTTGAAAAATTCAGTTTATGATGTCATCCACCGCGGTGGTGACAACCTTGGTTTCTTCCACCTAGCTGTCATCGGAGTTTCACGTTCAGGAACAAGTGTAAATAAGCATCACACTTACTGATGAAAGCAAGGTGGAAGAAACCAAGGATGTCACTACAGCGGTGGGTGACATCAAAAACCCTACTTTTCAAAGCGCGATATCTCCGTTAATATTGATTGTAGAGAGTTGCGGTTTGGACAGATCTTATTATTTTTGGCTAATCTACAAGAATTAAGCATCAAAGTACGATTTTGTGACCAGCTCAACTGACCCATTACTTACTTTTATTTTTCAACTACCGAAGCATTTTAGAGTTTAGAGTTTCATGGTAAAAATTAGTTCCATCCATTGAGTAAAAGTAATCAGAGATTTATTCTTCTTTAGTTTTGTCAAAGGAAGAACGCTGTAAGAGCCTTAAGACGTCACCAAATTTTCTTTGACAAATCACGAATTTTCAGGAGAATTTAATATTTTTAATATTTTTCTTTCATTATTTCAGAATTTTATTTGTAATTTGCTCTCAAGTGTCAGAAAATTTCATGAAACAATATTCAAAACTTTCTTCAAAAATAAATATTTTCCAAGAGGAATATTTCTTTTTTCTTGACTGATCATACAGCGTTTTTCTTTAGTATGGCAGCATAGCACAGGCTGGACCCTCTTACTTGCATGCTCTATATTTAACTAAATTGGTGTGAGATTGCAGTAATGCATCAAGATTTTTCATTATTCAAGAGTAAATCAGTGCAGTAGCACAAGTCACTCCACGAATAAAAGTTAACAGATGATGGAACCATATACACCTAGATACTGAAAGATGTCAGGTATTTTAAAAATGAACATGAGTTGGTATAATTTGGTTCCTCACTTCGTTTCTTCGTGTGCATTAGCTTGATTGAGGCTAATGACTAGTTACCTCAGTTTCATTCTGATCTTCTTCTATTCTAAATTTCAAGATTTGCTTGAATAGGCAATCAAAAATTAAGTGTAGAAAATACTTAGCGATCACAAACCTTTCCACAAGCAAGACCTCCGACTACTGAGGTGATTACACCAATGATTTTTACAATGAGCGTTTTGATTCGTACGATTCTTGGCATTTTTATCCCATTCAGATAGCACTTTACTTGAGGTATTCCACTTCCTCCTGCAATTGGCTGAAAAAATTGATATTTCATATGAAAAGCTTGACATTATTGGAAAATTGTAAAATTCAAGAGTTAATCATTAAAAGTTTGATACTTACCACTAAGATCATTTGAAGTTTTTGATGAGGTATAAAATTGACTGTCAAGTTTTCAATTGCATACAATTTATAGGGTAATCATAAAATTATACAAGAGTGAAAATAATGAAACATACACACAGGTATGAAGAAAACTTAATCAGGCTAGATCCAAGAAAAAGGAGGGACATGCTCCACCCTTTTGACAATTAAAAAATTAAGCTTGATTCAGCCTCAAAATAGGTTGGATTATTTAGGTTGTCGATAAAATTGTAGTAAAAAAGAACAAAAGCAAAAAAACTTTACCTCAATGCAAGTGACTAAAGTTGAGCCGATGAGTACAGGAATAACATTCCAGGCTAGGAAAATAAAAAGTGGAATGCATAGGCAGTTATCCGTCATGCATACGTTTAGAGCTAATTGTGAGAGGAGTTAAGGAAATAGTTAAAGGCATCTAATTTTAACAGTAAAATCTGACACATTGTCTTCGAAATGAGAGGCTTGGAGGACAAGGCGCAACAGTGCAGTTTTTTAAATAATTGAGATATGTATTGATGATTTCAAGTAAAACTGGTCTCAATATATATTCTGTGAGAAATTCGCTATCAAATTCCAATTTTTAAGCATCAATCTGTCATTTTCCATCATAAGGCTTTTGAAACTTGAAACTTGTATTTTTCGAAATGGCAAAAACTGCACTTACGGGCCTTGCCCTCCAAGCCTCTCAAATAGGGGAATAAATGAAAAACTTGCATTTAAGGTGTAACCGATTTCATTAAAGGATACAATTCTGCAATTTGGCAAATTTGATCTTCGACAGCTCACTTATGGAAACATCGATGGAGACTCCAATCAATGCTGTAAGAACACCGATCAGCAAAAATATCATCCATCTTGCGACACTTTTCTTCACGATGAATTTATATCCTTTTTTCCTCTCTTCATCCAGAAATAATGTATTTTCACAAATATCGTAATCGAGACTCTGCAACATGAAAAAACATCACTTTTACTTGCCTTGTGATTAAATAAGTATGAGGTTGAAAATAGATCAGTAAAAAGTATTAAGCAAGTTTTTTGTATTAGTAAGTAAAATAAAAAAATTACAAATACCTAAAAAAGTATCAAAATTTTCTTTCATCTGTTAATTGGAGGTTATCAGTAAGGATGGCAATTTCAGCAAAAAATATACTCCAGTAAATCATTTCAAATTCTTTACAAAAAAGTTTAGGAGATTTAATAATAATTGAAGATGACACATAAAGTTCCCTGAAATCCGAGGTGTGGATCAAAATTTGTTTGATTTTATTCTTGGCAAATTAGGAAAATTTGGAACTTTAAATCGACCCCAAAAAACCAATGCAATTTTTCCGATTATTTGAGACAAAAAATCAATTTTTTTAATAATCGATTTGTAATCAGCACCCCTAGTTTTCAGATTGTCGTCTTGCTTCTGTCTCGTGAGAGTGTCCTTGAACAACCCTCAATTAACAATAAGTATTAACCTTCTCAATTTATTTTACTATAAAATTCTAGTTTATGGGTGATATTATACTTACTCTACAAATTACTTCCAGCTTAGTGCTGATCTATTAACTTCTTCCATTATGGATGTTTATGCTTTTCACAATATCAGAGGCTACAGATTGTTCAACAAGAACTTTTCTCAAAGTACAATCTGTTTAATGAAGAATACTTCATTCATGGCAAAACTTTTAGGGTCATGAAAAAACCAGGAATTGTACCTACCTCAAAGTTGGAATTGAGAACATTAAGCGAGCCAACTTCAACCACTGCATTATCATCATTTGACTCCAGGAGAGGTGGTTCAACAGTTTCTCTGATTATTGGCATCCGTTTCTTTTTCTGTAAAAATGGAGGGAACTCATGGGAGTATAATAAATCAAAGATAGACATTGAGTAAAAAAATACACTAAAAATCGGTGGGTATACTGCTCTACAAGAAGCATTCCAACAATTCTCAATCTTTACTATGCTATTGCAAATATTCAGTACAACAAGTATGGCTTCCTTAAATTATGGTGGTATGTTATATTTTCAAAGTCAAAAGAAAATGAAGATGAAGGTAAAAAATTACAGGGGGTTTTCTAGATCATGAAAAGTAAAGGCACCTCTATAGAAGCATGTCTAAAGATGGCATGGCTCAATGGCTAAATATTTTTGTTCTTATCATAACAATAGATAGGTACATTGCTTAACTTGTCATTGAGCTATTTGGGTGTTTTTACACTCCTGAGGAATTACTGTGTCACTCGACATGACTCTCACCGGTCTGCTCTCCGAGTCTATGATCTCCCGAAGTCGGAGAGTTAATGAGCCAGGTGATAGAGCTTATTTCAGATTACTTTTCCACTTTCAATAGATAAAAGACACTTCTGACTGCTTAGAAGTGAGTTTAGTTGCTTCAGTATTTGGTTTTGTTCAGGGCAGCGTTAGCTAGGCTTAGCTACTCTATTTTGCCCCTTCTATGGTTCTAGCAGCATCAGGATCAGAACATTTCAAAAATTTTTATTGAAATTGAAAGTTTTTCTGGACATACAAACATGACCTAAAAGTAAACATGGACAACGAATTTGGTACGAGACAGCCATCAACGCTATGAGTCATTGGGTAGTTGGGTCCAAGCTCATTGTTCGGCGATCTTGCAGTGAGCTTAATGACCAGTTTAGCATTGTACCTAATGAACAGCAACCTTAACATTCTAAACATTGCCTCTGAATATGGATCAAACATTCCCCAGTGAGATCAATATACAGCTGATGAAGTAAAATGCCTAAAGCACGTGTCCCACGATCAAATGAACTCATCAAATGCGAGATGGCGGAGATGCGTACTGGCTTTTACGCAAGTCCGCATGGGCTCTATTCATCAACATTTGACAGTCCGCCAACTTTTGATAATACAGAAACCAATACGCATCCCGCCATCTTGCAATTGATGAGTTCATTTGATCGTGAGACATGGGCTTCAGGACTACATCTCATTTCGTCTCCGTGCCACAAGTACATGGAGTGCATACGGGCTTTTTCTGCAGCAGCCTGTCAACTTCAATATTGCCACTGATTCGCGTAGATGAATTTGCTAATTTGAATACTCTTGTAACCTTATAAATCACTGCTGAACTCAATGATACGATAGAGAAAACAACAGTGAGACAACTTGAACTATTCCAATTTTGATCGGAGGTAAGTAACTGGTATCAGTGCTTCCTTTCCCTATCATGGAAGAATTTCAAGGAAGATTAAAATGGAATTTTTACTTAAGTAATACTTACTCTGACAGTCTCTGTTGCAATTTCATCATCAGGATCTTGAAATGCGGCCCTGCTGAGAATCCTGCTGCGCTCTTCATCTGTGACATTCATTCTACTTCAAAACTGTCTCTTTAATAGGAAGAAAGAGCCGTTCTCGGCCACAATAAACTTAAGTAGGGGCGATTAATAACATTTATAAATTATTATAATATAACAAAGACACAGACTTCAGTAATTTTACCATCAAGTATGGGAATGAGTCATGCATATGCCAGCTGACAAATGAATGTTATTGTGATAAGGAGGCGATCCTAGCGAACTCTTTGTTCTCATGAGTAAAGTTTCAATGTGGTGTTTACCTTATTAGTTGATAACTTTAATGAGAGAGAGCGCAGCTCAAACATATTTTTTTATCCAACCCAACCACAACCGCTGGAAATATCCCAAAATATCCATATCGCTTATTTCCCGTATTTCCCGCGATACAGTCATGAAATGTGAGCAATTTCTTGTTTCAAACAACTGGAAAAATCATGAAATTTTTCATTGTTCACGGAAAGTTTCATAAAAAATTTGTTTATGAATGAACACAGGTCAGCTCGGGCACCGGGCGCGTAAAAATTAGAACTCCGGAGTTCTAATTTTTACGATCCAGGCCTGGATCGTAATGTGGTAACCCGCGAAAATGATGGAAAATCTCAGCTTTTCGCTTGGCTGGTGGCGACTGAGAAAAACTGCCCGTTGACGCGGGAAACTTGAAAAATCGTGTTACAAACCACACGCAGATTTCAGATTTTTTGATGTGCCCAACTTGATTTTCGAGTTACTTTACTCTTACAAAGAGTATTCAGTCGGCTGTATATCTTGCGTGCAAGCGTGCAAGCGACCCACTCTGAAATCAAGCGCGGAATTACTGGTACAGCGGCGTTGGTATGTGATGTGGTATCACGCCGCTTTGAAGGAAACTCCTCCTTTCGGACTCCGCGGAGTAGGTACGTGATGTGGTATCACGCGGAAATGAGGGGAAATATTGGCGTTCCACTTGTATTGTAAAAACACCGTGTTAATTCTGTTAAAGTTTTCATCGTGGAGACCTCAAAACCAGTCCGAATAGAGTTGAAATTTCAAATACTTTCCAGATGTGTTGAATGCGACGGTTCGGAAGTACCGTATGCTAAAAGTAAAAAAATCAACGTAATTTTTCCGCATATATTCTGCGTCACGGAAGCCCCGAAACCCGTTCCAATAGATTTAAAACTTCAAAAAATTTCCGAGAGAGACCTTACGGTAGTAAGGGGGCCCTCGCCCCCTCCCCGCTCAAAGCAAAATGACGCTGGTACGCATCTGAAATCTGGCATCAGTGTGTGGTGTGATCATGTGGCAGTGAAGGTGCGAATCCTCACAACCCTCCGTTCACCTCTATGGAAGGGGAGGCCTGAATCGAAATTTCGCTTCTTTTGATCGTCTAACATGCTATTCACTACTGTATCACCCAAAAAGAATCACATCTGATCGAGTACCAATCTAATAGGAGATGGAATAACGTCCTTTTAATGGACGGAATTAACATACAAATATTCGCAATTTCAGTCAATGTTCAATTTCTCCTAATGGCTTGTTCAAGTCAGCGACGAGCTTCTTCCTCATCGCGGTGGTCGTAAGGTTCCCGTATATTCGGCCAGAGGAAATAGCACCTTTTCAGGGCTATCGCCCGGTGAGCAGGCGGGGGTGTCTATTGGTCCGGATTTTTTGAGGGCGTTCCGGAAGTACTGAAGAAGTGTGGAAATTCCGCAAGAATAGGTCCGGAACTTTTCCCTTCATGCCACGCGCGTATTTTTTAATGAAGCTTGGATAGTATGCAGTACCCTGCGCGTTGATTCTTAGAGTAGTATCTGCCTGCAAGATTTTAGACTGCGGAGTTCCTCAAGCCGTCACTGACCAAAAACTCCGGCCGTGGAAGCCGTGCTTTCGGGCTATGTACACATAACGTTCGCGTTCCGGGCTTTGAGACTGAAAGTTCCAGAGTTAGCATCTTGAGCTGTTGAAGCTACGGCTCCAGCACCCGGAACTTTCGGTCTATGAGCCCGGAACGCGGCCGGTATATTCACATATCCCGCAACTTTTTCCCAGTGTGCATTAACGAAGTTTTATGTGTCATTTTGGCGCAATTCGAGCGAGAATTTCGTCAAATGGAGGTACCAACTGAAAAAATACTGAATACTTTTTCAGGAGGTACTGGATTTCTTGGGAATACACTGTAAGTACAGTAACTGCTTTTGACCAGCCTGTTTACTTAAACACCCTGGAAGCGAGCAACTATTCAAACTCCGGAGTAGGTATGCGGTATCAACCGAAATTGAAGGAGAATCTTAGGCTTTCTCCGAGTTTAGATTACCGACGTTTATGATTATCATTCTCACGTCGATGTAAAAATCGCATTTTTTTCGCAACAATGATGTAGAAATTGTGTGTACTTTTATGTGATTTAGGAATCGCAAGAAATTCGCGGGGGAAATTTTTTTGAATGAATTTATTGAGGATACTTTATGAAGTGGAGGGAGGAGCCTAGAATGATTGCGATGATCGGCGGCTGAGTAATTGAAGTAAGGGCGCCTCATAGCTTGTCCCTTTGACCTTGGTCGGAAGTCTGCTATAATCTCGATACATTTATTTTAATTATTTGATGACGAGATTGCATACCCGACGTAATGAAGGAACTTTTAGAGATTGTAGTGATATGCAGCTGATCTATATCTCAAATTGAAGTGTATCAAATTAAGTGTAACAAGGTGGAAAAATGGTGCTGGGTCCACACCATTACGAGGGGAAATCAAAGCCAAGGAGTTCCAAAAATTATAATTAGAGTCAAAAGTAATTTTTTTTAACTCTAATGAGTACCAGTAGGAAACTGAGTAAAATAAAATTATTTTCGAATCTGATCATAATTTTTGGAACTTCTTGGCTTTGATTTCCCCGCGAAATGGTGTGGGCCCAGCAACATTTCTCCACCTTGGTACGTACAGTTCAGGCCACTTCTTAGTGTTTTACTCTCTCAAATTAAGTGCTGAGTGTATCATGCTAAGTTGAAAGGTAACACGCAAGTCCAATTTTCAGGCGTATGCTCTACCTTTTTAGAGGCTACAAAGATTTTGGTAACAACATTCGTAGATCCAGGAGCACGCAACTATGCGCAAATCGGCATAATCGTTCAGCACTAACGCTTTTTCGAACGTGTACATCGTCGATCCTCTGACTTATCCCTCTCAATTTCCACATGAGTCCTGTTTGACATATACAGGGTGATCCAAAAGTCCCTTCCACCCCCTCTAACTTTTTACCTAATTGAGGTAAAGATTTNCTGGAAAAATCATGAAATTTTTCATTGTTCACGGAAAGTTTCATAAAAAATTTGTTTATGAATGAACACAGGTCAGCTCGGGCACCGGGCGCGTAAAAATTAGAACTCCGGAGTTCTAATTTTTACGATCCAGGCCTGGATCGTAATGTGGTAACCCGCGAAAATGATGGAAAATCTCAGCTTTTCGCTTGGCTGGTGGCGACTGAGAAAAACTGCCCGTTGACGCGGGAAACTTGAAAAATCGTGTTACAAACCACACGCAGATTTCAGATTTTTTGATGTGCCCAACTTGATTTTCGAGTTACTTTACTCTTACAAAGAGTATTCAGTCGGCTGTATCTCTTGCGTGCAAGCGTGCAAGCGACCCACTCTGAAATCAAGCGCGGAATTACTGGTACAGCGGCGTTGGTATGTGATGTGGTATCACGCCGCTTTGAAGGAAACTCCTCCTTTCGGACTCCGCGGAGTAGGTACGTGATTTGGTATCACGCGGAAATGAGGGGAAATATTGGCGTTCCACTTGTATTGTAAAAACACCGTGTTCATTCTGTTAAAGTTTTCATCGTGGAGACCTCAAAACCAGTCCGAATAGAGTTGAAATTTCAAATACTTTCCAGATATGTTGAATGCGACGGTTCGGAAGTACCGTATGCTAAAAGTAAAAAATCAACGTAATTTTTCCGCATATATTCTGCGTCACGGAAGCCCCGAAACCCGTTCCAATAGATTTAAAACTTCAAAAAATTTCCGAGAGAGACCTTACGGTAGTAAGGGGGCCCTCGCCCCCTCCCCGCTCCAAGCAAAATGACGCTGGTACGCATCTGAAATCTGGCATCAGTGTGTGGTGTGATCATGTGGCAGTGAAGGTGCGAATCCTCACAACCCTCCGTTCACCTCTATGGAAGGGGAGGCCTGAATCGAAATTTCGCCACTTTTGATCGTCTAACATGCTATTCATTACTGTAGCACCCAAAGAAAATCACAAATGATCGAGTACAAATCTAATAGGAGATGGAATAACGTCTTTTTAATGGACGGAATTATTCGCAAAAATTAGAAAATATTCGCAAATTAGAAATTAGAAATATTCGCAATTTCAGTCAATGTTCAATTTCTCCTAATGGCTTGTTCAAGTTAGCGACGAGCTTCTTCCTCATCGAAGTGGTCGTAAGATTCCCGTTTATTCGAGGGCTATCGCCCGGTGAGCAGGGTGCGTCTACTGGTCTGGATTTTTTAAGGGCGTGCCGGAAATACTGAAGAAGTGTGGAAATTCCGCAAGAAGGTCCGGAACTTTTTTCTTCATGCCACGCGTGTTTTTTAATGAAGCTTGGAAAGTATGCAATCCCCGACACAGCAGTTCCGAGCGGACACTCTTTTAATTCAAGCAAAAATCCGATTGAATCTCCAAATCGAGAATATTTTTTCTTGTCAATTATTTTAAGAGCCTGGACTCTGGATCCAAGAGCCTTTTTTCCAGCGAATGAAATACTCAACAAAAGGGAAAAAATTGGAATGATTCAAGAATACAATCTTTTTTAGGAGTTACCTAAATTCAATTCATCTTACGGATCAACTGAACACTCAAAATCTGACATTTCCGAGTCCAAGTGGAGTCGGAGGAGGAGGGGGGGGGGGCAGACTAACGGCAAAATACGTGGTTGAAGCATTTTTCAATCATACAATTCTAAGAAAAATGTAGGAGGATATTGCAGCAAATAAAACAATTTCAAACAAATTAAAATTAAATATAACCAAACAATATGGAAAGACACAGAGAAGAAATAATCCTCTTTAAAATGAGAGAAAAAAATTACGTGTGGCGTTATGTATAACGTGCCCTGAACCTACTCCCTCCAAACGCACCTGAAACCAGCGCTATACGTTTTTTATGAACGACCCCCTAACATAGACCATGGCAAATCACTGATACCTACAGCAGCATTTCGACGATGAAACTGCAGGAATGTACTCCTCGTTTGCGGTGTTTCAAAATTTCCGTCTCGACTTTATTTAGTCAAGAAGAACAAACCAAAGCTATTGCTTCAGACTTTCATAGATTACCTATTTTTCACCGAGTGATAAAATCAACTTCCTGATAGTTTTCGGAAAATGAGGTTAAATTCTTTTTCATGTAAAAAAATAAAGTATGCAGGAAGTTCCTGTAGTTTTTAAGGACACCGAAATAGACTGCATTTAACCGAGGGGAGCAATCTCGCTTCAGTATTTTCAAAATCTTGCAATTTTTTTTCCTATGAAAAATAGTGAATATATCGATGGCTTAAGTGCGAAACCACCTATCTCCATGGTGGTGTTTCAAAATCTCTGCTCTTATTTTATTTTTTCGAAGAGAAACAAGTCAACTATGTAATTTGAAATTTCTGCAGAACATTCTGTTAATAAAGGAGAGAAAGCGAAGGAGGTTTTCAAGATATAAAGTTGTCTAGTTTTTCGATGAAAATATAAAGTATGACAGGAAGTCTGCAAAGTTGGAAACTGAGATACGTGGTTACCCACCGGGCATCAATTTTTTTTTACCATTATACAATTTTTTCCTTTAAAATTAAACATTACTTGGCAACTTGGCAAGAAAAAAATTCAGATAAAGATGAGGATGCAAGATTTTACAACACCGTAATCGATATGGATCCTTTTCGTTTAATGTGATCCAAATACTGCATGATATGAGGTAAACCTAAAAGCATAAATCGACAAAGTCCGCAACCAAGCATTTCGTTGGTGGTGTTTGAAAATCACCGCTCCTATTTTATTTTTTTTTTTTTTTAGGGAGAACAAATCGACATCATTTCTTGAATTTTCCGCAGACTTTTCTTCGCACTGCTAAAAAATCACGGAGGCTCACAAGAATTGACTTTGAGCAGTTTTTCATTTAATTAAAAATAAAGTGTAATAGGGAGTCTGCAACGTCGCAAACCGAGATATGTAGTTGCGGACTAACACCGTCGAAAAGAAATAAGTGATAAGGCTTCCTTCCAATACTGCCGTGCTAAGAAAAAACGCCGTATGAGCCTTTCGGCGTTGCAAAATTTCTCCTGGCAAATTTCTAATATCCAGGACAATTTTTGAATAATTTTCTACTGATTTCTCAAATAATTTTGTTTGTAATTTGATCTAAAACTATCGAAAATTTCAAAGAAAAATATTCACAATTTTCTTCATGAATAAACATTTTATTGAAGGAAATTTGGCAACTCTCGAATGTTCATACGGCGTTCTTCCTAAGCACGGCAGACTAGGTAAGCGTCCTATTGAAAAAATTGCTGAAACTCAAGAGTTGAGGAGTTGAGTTCCAAGGTGTTCGCTGGTAGATTTGGCAACAGGGGCAAATGGACAAATCTCAACCTGTGAGGCGCGGTGTTGGTGTGAGTGTTTGTGTGCGAGCGGGCAGCTTTCTCCTTCTTTCAGACAGACGCTAAAAATTGGCGGGAAGAAAATTTGAGAAATCGAATCAGGGGAGATGCGCGTTCGACAGAAGCGACAGTAGCGGGGTGGGGGGTGACCCTGCCTCAAGCCATGCACCTGAGGCGCGCCCGCCGGTCAGTTTCCCGAAAACGGAGCAATTGCAAAGGTCACGCGCCGCAACCTGTCACGTCCGGTCCGTGGTACATTGTTCTGTCTAAACTCGCTTTCCTTTTAATAGTTTCGGTCATTAATTTCATTCAAGCAGTGCTCCTGTCTTACGAGTGACGATTGTCTTAATATCAGTGCAAGTTTCTATCGTCTCTTCGAAGATTGTGTGAACCTTACGAGTTACGACCAATTTGCACTCGGCAAGGGTGAAGGATCAAAGATGACCGCGAACCTATCCTTCCTGTCTCTCGTCTGATCGGTTGAAGTTATTCGTTCTCGCGTTGTGCAAGTGAACTTCTCGCGAACATTCGTTCAAAGTTTCCGTGGACTGATTCGAATTCAATGAGGACCATTCTCGAAAATGGAGATACTCTAATTTCGGGAGTATCGAAAACGGCGTGAACATGGTTGGCCTCTCATCGGTTGGAGTGATTTCGTTTCGCACTACGCAAGTGGCCCTCTCTCGATTTTGTGTCGAATGTTTTCGTGGACTTGCTTTCGGATTCGACAATTTGTTGCCTTCCCATTCAAAAGAAAACCGCTAAGATCTAGGTTTTTCTTTCTTGCGATCCATACTGTGTTCGGCTGAGTGACGAGAATTTGCCTGCTGGTGTTTCGTTCGAGGTGCATGGCTCGCGTGGATTTTTGAGCCTCCGAGGTTCTGCGTGTCCTTGCTCAAAGTTAAGACTTTGATTCGTCTCGCACTTTTGTTTCATCGGTTTCGGTTCTCTCGTGGTTCGTCTAATATGTGTGAACTATTCGCGGTGGTTTCGAGGAATTCAACGGTTCCTTTCGATGGTCGCGGACAGTTTCGATTCTCGCGTTTTCGGATTCGATTATATCTGTGTTTTCGCGTTGTGTGAAACCTTGACTCAGTGATCGTGCGTTTTGTGTGTCCTGTTTTTCATCCAGTGGGACGAGTCTCGGGAATTGTGTCGATGATTATTCTGGAATATTCTGCCCCATTAAGCTATCTTCGTCGGGTTGGTGAGGCTCTCCGGTCAGGTCTGAAAATATCAATTATTTATTCTATTCTGATTTCAATTCTGTCACAACATGTTGCGTTTCTCTACACTGATTGCTGATTTATGTTTATTGGGTTGTGCACTCAAAGAGTGCGGNGTTGAAAATTTTCACTTGAACTAAGTAACTACTTTAATCATGTGACGGACGTGTGTCCGTGGTTTTTTCCCTTAAATTTTAGTCATATCATGATAGCAATTCACCACGAATTTTAAAATGAATTCAGCAACTTTGCTATGAGATTAAGTCCCTCTGGCTCTCGCCCCTTCGATACATATTGGCATTCCTACCCATCAGTTTGCTCCACGCCTTTTGCAGTATTCCCGCTCAAAGGAAAAACGTCATATGAGCACTCGAATGTTGCCAAATTTCCTCTCAGTAAATATTTATTCTTGAGAAAAGTTTTGAATATTTTTCTATGAAATTTTCAGAGGCTTTAAGTAATCAAAGAATCGAAATTTTTTACAAAACTGGAGGAAGACTATCAAAAGTTTCCCGAAATTTCGTGAGTTGTTTAAGGAAATGTGGCGATGACTGAAGGCTCATACGGCGTTCTTCTTTAGCACGTCAGAGTAGGTGCCAAATATTCCTACTTGTCGTCTCGCAGTGGTTTTATATTGGGAAATTAACTTATCAGGAATTTTGTGCAACAATGAAGCCTAAGTTTAAAATTATCTGTCGATTCATTTTTCTAGAGGAAGGACCACCCACCACAGAGTTGGGAAGAAATTATTCAGATATTATTTGGTCAATCAGCAACGTCCGATCAATCGGCCGAAAGCCGATTTATCTATCTCATCAGGTATAGAATTCTGAGAACCGAGGGTATGCGTCTAGTCAGATTTGCCGCGCAATTTCAGTCCGCCAGAGAAAAGATACTCGAGGAGCAGGGCCGGACTGGCTAAGGCAGCTAGGCAGCGATCGCTGCCTAAGAATTGTCGGCTCAGGGGCCCCGACGGGGCCCCTGAGCCGACAATTCCTGAATTTATTCTTCAATGAATGAAATGAATCCATGAAAAAGTGAAAAATCCTTGAAAAAAATCCTTGAATTTATTCTTCAATAAATGAAATGAATCCTTGAAAACCCCTCGTTTTTTTCAGTCCTCGAGGGTTTAACTCATAACACCTTCTCTGAGGCCCCTACGGCCCGAAAAAGGTAACCTCAGGGGCCCCTGAAAGGGCCCCTCAGCGATCGGAAAATATGAGCTTCAAGGGCCCTGGAGCGGCCCTCGAAGCTATATTTTCCCGGCCTCTAAC